ATTAATGAGGAATTTTATCAATGATGCATGCAAAATCAATTCCTAGCTTAAGAAACTTTTCCAATTAACCAGAAAGACTTTTCCTTCCTTCCGCCCTTACTTTCTGCATAGTTTTTTGGGGGAATAAGTGTATATATATATATATATGTATTTATTGCATCGTAAAAAGTAAACCAATATTTCGCTCCATGACTCTATATAAAACTTTATAGGAAGCAGCTGAAAAAGTAAAATAATTTTTGTTGAAGGGAAAACAAACTTTTTATTAATGTTTGTCGCACTTTTTCGGTCGGACATGCGGCGCCCTGGCCGAGTCTAGGAAGCAATTTTATGTTTCGTCCATTGTTTGTTGCCTCTTTTTTTTCTTGTAGTTGGCCGAAATAAACACATTTTTATTACAAAATATTTTGTTTTGGATGCGAGCATTTTATTGCACCAGCGTTGGCTCTAAATCAAATGCTTTTTACACTAACTTAAATTATTTGCCAGGCAACAAAAAAAAGCAAAAGCAAACGCCATGAATAAAACGCATAAATATGTGAACGCCCCAAAAAAATAAAAAGCAAAGTTGGCAGCCGGAAATGATAATAACATCTATATGCACAGTGCGTTTCGTGGCTGTAAATCGGTTTATTTCTGTGCGAAAATAAATAGAGTTGTGAGAAGAAGCAAACCGTACTTTCTTTTTTATGTTACTTTTCAATTTACTGTATTGTTGTGAGGGAAATAAATGAAATTTTATAGTTAATCAATGAATACTTTTAAAGAATTTTAAAATACTCAAAAACTTTAAAAGTCCTACTGATTATTTTTTCTAAAACTTTGATGTATTGAAAAGGTAATTTTAATAATCTGCTGAGATACTTTTTTTTGGAAGTAGTTTTGTATTTGCTTATAAATATATTTAAATTTAAATTTATAGATATGGTTAAGACGTTTTAATAATGCTAACTAAGATGCTTTACAACTTTGTTTTTCTGGTTTTCTATAAAAGAAAAAGGAAATCTATAAAGTCCTCAAAATCATATTTCACTGTGACAGCCTAATGACTCTTCTTATCGATTGCAATTAGGCCTAAAGTACCTGCCCCTTTTGTCAAATCCGTGCCAAATTCAAGTAGGCAACTAAAACAACAACAACTACAGCAATATTGTAAGAGTCCTTCGGCGAACATTACGTATACGCCACGTACACACTGTTGCACTGTGTTGGTGTGCAATTGTTCTGGGCTCGGCACTCTTGTCTTGGCCGAAAGGAGTACAAAATGTTGCTGATTAAGTGGTTGCCGCAAGCAATTTGCGTCAAGTGAAGCGCGTGACTCTCAACATGTGTCACCAGTACAGTGGAGGCTCGAACAAAAAGGTCAGGGTAGAGGAGGATGAAAAGTTGGGGACGAAAACAAAAACAAAAGCCACGATATGCGACAATTACAACCGTAAATTATGCCACAAGCAAGAGCAACAGCAATAACTACAATAACATCAGTCGACCACAACGCCCAAAATGGCCACGCCCACAACGGCTGGGCCGTTTTGGTCTGGTCCGCCAACTTGGCCACAAAAGAAACAAGCCCAAACGCAACAAAATGGAGCACCACAGCGCACCGACAATGCCAACGACAACTCAATTAAGTAAATGAGTGAAAACCGAGATGTTGTTGCTCGCCGCTCCTTATGTTTGTTGATGTTTGTGTGTTTGCGAATGTTTGTCGTTGTTGTTGCTGTTGCTGTTGCTGTAGCTCTTGGCAGAGTGGCTTACTTGTGTAATTAAGTGAGCAAATCACAAAATAATTATCCAGCTCGGGGCACAAACTGCAACAGCTAGAACTTGTTTTTTCTTGGGTATTTAATCTTAATGTCATCATTGTAATTTCCCCAAAAGAAATGCAATTATCGCACTCTGTCTCCCTGACAATTAGCCAGAATAACTAAAGCTTAGCTCAGCGTCATGCAAAGTCAATTACGCATAGCTTAAATGGCCCACACAAACCGTTACACTACCTGGCTAACACCCACACACAGAGAGAGATGTAGAGTAAAAAGGACATTTTGTAGCTATTGCGTCCTTTGGCCCTTAGCTGGCCACCTTTTTCCCCATTCAGGTGCAAGCAAATTTGCCGCGTGCAATGAAATGAATGCAGGTGTGACATGAACTGAAAGTTCTGTAAAAAATGCAAAAGAAATTTACGTTGGCTGCAAAAGGTAATAGGGTATGAAAGGAAACCTTTAAAAAAAAGCGGGGGATTTATATGCGATTTTCTGTAAAGGGAAATATGTGATAGTTCTAGGTTAATGTTCTGATAAAAGCTTGAATTTTTGATGAAATCAGCTTGCCTTTAATCATATATTATCACATATTAAGTACATGTATTAACAAGAATAATTATATATTCTCAATAACAAAATAGCTAAAATGAAATTTAAAATTAAAGTCACGTAACTCCTAACTTCACCCCCCAAAAAAAAGAACAAAAGAACTGTTAACACGAAAAGTTTAACTAAAAAAAAGGCGTAGAAGAGGGTAAAACTTTTGAAATTCATACAAGTTGCGTTTTTAATCATCGCCGGGCACTTTTATGGTAAACTATTTTAAGTATGCGCTGTCGATTCAAGCGAAAGTTAGCGATTTACGAGCACCTTCAATCCACTCAACGCACTCGCCTGCTATACGTAAATATTACGTATACGTATATTCCCCTATATATATATATGTACGTAGATACTTTGTGTATAGAAAGTCCCTGTGTTCCACTCCCCCGGGCGTTATTGAACCAACAAAAAGTTGAGCAGTCAGCGAAAATGGCATTTCCGGTTGAAGTTGGCACACAAACAAAATTCCAGCAATGTCGCGTTTATTTATAAGGCAACCCGAAATGCAGGCACGCACATGGTTGTGTCCGCCCCCTCCTTTTCTGCTTTCCCCCCACCGACACCGCCCACTCTCTGATTTTCACTTGTTTTTTTTTTTTTTTTGTTTATTCGGCGACGTTTTTGGCATGCAAGTTTTGCACTTTCCTTTTTTTCTCTCTCACTTTTCTTTATTTTTGAGTGACTTTTTGCTGTTGCATGCGCCAAGTGCAGACATGAGGCGAAAACGAGGCAAGGCGAGGTCTTAACTAGGTCGATCATTTGATGGCACACGCACACACCTAAGCCCAACTGAACTCACATTAAATATTTACTAACACTCGGAGAAATAGGGATATTAAATAAGCAAAAATTTGTTAATTTAAATGTTAATCAGCTGCAGAAAATTAAAATTTTTCATCTACCAACATCTGATTAGCATGCTTCAACAATTTTTCTTGTAATTTGGAAAAACCATTGCTCATTCCATTTTCCCGTAGTGCCATAATAGTGCGAGTAAAAATGGCGTGCGGAAATTATATAAGCTCACTTTATGCTATTAAGGTTTGACTTACTGCCGCCTGCCTGGTGTCTATTTGTCTGCCTGGCCTCCGGGTGAACCATGTACACCCAGTCCTAGCCAGACGTAGCCTTTCCAATTACATTACCCGGACTCGGATCGTCAGTGTGCTCCATTTCTCGGTTGCTTCCTCCGAAACGGAAACACCGGAGAATATGGTCGCCCACTTTGAGCCGGGCAAATATTTGCCCTGCCTTCGACTAAAAGGTGATAAACTTGGCATAATGCAATATTTAATGTTTGAACAGGCATTTAAAAGGTTATATAATGCAGTTATGCTGTTACCCTAGTCTGGCTCGTACACTATCATCGTTATCATCGTCATCATCATCGCCATCATCATTTGCCATCGTGGTCTGAAGCATTTCTGGCCAGTTGTTTGCCCAGCGCAGGCTGATAAGCTTTGAAATATTTTGCACACCCTGGCATATGCAAATGCAAACTAGAGATACACTTACCAGAAAAATCTGCGAAATTTAAAATGGAAATTCAAGATTTTGTAGAAGAAAAATCTATGGAAAATGTTTGATTTCGAGTAAATCTTTCGATTAGAATCTTCTATCCCTTCTTTTACTAGGAAGTACTTTTGCATTACCTTGATTCCCATCGGTTATAGATTTCTCAAACTGTTTTCTTTTCTATTCCTTGAAAATTTCAAGAATTCTCCTTAAACAGCATTAACTGTAGTGTAGGCCCATTCCCAGTACCAAATCCAGTTACAATCGCAGTATTAGAGTCATGGCCAAAACCAGTGACAGGGAAGCATCGGGCACTGTGTTTGGATGGATAGACATATAGACCTATATGGGCACAAACACATAGTTCCAGCTCCTCCTCAACGCTACTGGGGCTTGGGTGAGAGCGTGTTTACATGCTTTCGACTCTGTTGATTAATGTTGTTGGCCACCCAGCTGAGCATTGAGTAATGCCAAGCAACTTCTGCTTGATGGATAAACGAGACTCAGCAGGTCTTCCAACCGTTTCCATCTATCTACCAGTTCCCTCTCCTTAGTTCGTATTAGGGCCAAAAGAATGTTACACTCTGGCCAAAGTGTGTCTGGGGCATGCACATAAAATTACCTGAATAACCATTGAAGTTACCCATGAAGTGCGAGGTGTGCAGAGCCTGTTGGAATTTAGCATTCGCTTGTGTTTGGAATTTACCAAATCATGAATATGAAAAGGTTTCCAAGAATTCTGATTACAAATTTAACGGGAAACTTACTAATTATGTTGTGAAAACTTAAGTTTGCGTGATAAATAAAGTAATTTATTTTCATTATTATTAAATGTTTTTTAAACATGTTTGAATATTTATATAAAAGGAACATCTGAATTGGGATTTAATAGAGAAAGAATCACTTCCTAACATGCAATTCTCAGCACATTTCACTGACCTTTGCAACTGTGTTAGCCATGTAAATTCGTACAAGCAAAGATAAAGAAATGAGGAAATTATATCTAAATAAATCAATGGCTCATTTGCCAATGCCCCCGCCCTCAAGCAGCTGTTTACATGGGATATATATATACAAATATATATACATATATGCAGCCGCACTAGCACATGCGTATAAACAAAGTCTTATAGACACCCCAATATATATATATATATATGCAGTGATCGTGATTGCGATCGGTTCACACATAATGCCGCCGCTCCATCGTGGCACGCGCCTTGCTCGAAAATCCGGAGGAGACCGAAGCACGTGAGAGAAATGAGGGACAGAGTTTTGGGTGCTATATACATAGATATAGATAGAGATCGAAATAAAGAGAAAGAGATCGGTTTTGGTTTTTGGGGAGAGAATAGTGCATTTATTTTTAGGATAACAATGGGCCCCGAAGAGCACCGGCAAGCGGGCGAGATATATTCAGCGGATTTCTATATTTTCCTCGGGAAAAATCGAGGAAAATTTTTCAGTCGAGCGCATAGAGCAACGCGAGCAAGGCGTCTAAAGGCCAGTGCGCGAATTATTTTGTATATATACCGAATATATATACGTACGCACACAAATACCCAAAAATATCTATAGATATATGTGCAGAGATAGCCAACGGTATAATTATATATACTCGAAAATTATACTACATATGGTTAAGAAGAGGGAAAACCATTTTTCAATTTGACGAAAAGTAAAATGTGAAATTCTATGTGTGTGTGTGTGATTGTGTGTGTGTGTCAGCTGGTCATGAAAAATTGCAATAAGAAAAACGGCCATAAAAGTGAGCAAAAAAAAAAAGAAGAAAAATAAAGTAAGAGATAGCAAATATCTCGGTGTGTATCTATAATAGTAATATCCCGAAAAGAAAAACCAAATGCGAAGAAAAACACACCAAATCCCAGCAAAAAGAATCTTAAGTAGACGGGAAAACGTTGGGTTTTCTTACAGATACGTATTTTAGATTCAGAATCAGAATCAGATTCAGATTCAGATTCATTTGTGGTCTTGGTTTGGTCTCTGCGGCATCGCTTCCTAGTTCCCATCCCATCATCATCATCATCCCATCTATGCTATTTAGTTTTTTGGGGTATGTTTTCTAGTTGCTGCCTCTCTTGGCTGCTTTTACTTTTTGTTTCAACTGCTGCTGTTGCTGCTGCTGCTGATGCTGCTTTTCTGGTCTTTTGCTCAAATAAAAATTCCTCTTGCGTGTTAGCTAAAAGTTATTTTTAAAAATTTCTTTTAATTTTGTTTTCTCGTTTGCGCGGAGATACGAGACTTTAAATACGGCGACGTCTTCGCCTGTCGATGCTCTCAAGGAATTTTCAGCTCTCGCCGCTGCATTAATGCGGCATAACATGAAAAAAAACAAACTAAAGGCAAAAAAAATCTACAAAATATTACAAGTTTCCGCCTGATACACAAATTAGATCTTGCAAATTAGCGAAATTAAATTGCATCGCATGCTAGGTGTAATTAATTCAACATCTATCACGTTTTTTTCTCTTTATTTTCTCTACCAAAAACTCACTTTTCCGCTTGGCAAGATCCTGCATGTGTGTGTGTGGGTGGCACTTGGAAAGTGCACAAAGGAGCAGCCAACCCTTCAGTGCCAGAAATGCGTTACGTATACGCCGGTTGGCCTTAACTTGGCTTAAGTGAACTATTATGCTACAGCTAATTGAATTTAATACATACGCAACGAATGTATATAACATTTTGTGCAATAATGCATTAAATTTGTGAGCCGAAACAAAGCAGCTTAAACCTGATGGCCATTGGCCAAAGGAAGTGCCTTATTTTCCTAGTTTCGTAGATAATAGATTGAGCTGGCATCCTGTGCCGAAGAAGATTTATGACCTCATTAATATCCAATCAACCTGTTCAGGCCAAATCGTTTGCTTGTAATTAAGCTCCTTCGTTGCCTTTTGCCTGTCGCCTGGCAAAACTGTAAACAAACTCGAACATCAACGCCGCTCACCACCTACCCAAATGGCAATTAGGCAGGGCATTTATTTCACTACAGTTTGTCAAATGCAATATCCGTGAAAGTGGACAGTCGGACGGGGCGACAGTGTAGGTAGGGACGACACTGTACAGACAGTAGAGACAAGAGACGGAGACACTGACAGACAAACAACGAACCTGGCCATGGCAACAATGTCACAACTCAAGTGTCAAACAAAAGGCGACGATGGCAATGGCGAAAGCACAGGCAAACGCAACCAAAACATCGTCCCCAAAACAGGGGGGTAGGGCAGTAGATTCTCAGGGCGGGAGATGGAAAATGCGATGCTAGAATATCAAAATTTACACAGTACGGCGATAGTTTTACGGTGGTGACAACAAAGCGGACAAATATTTTGCAATGAGCTATCAGAGTACATACACACATTTTGCATAACTCAAACAAAGTTACTAACTAACAGCTAGCAATTTTGTTCTAAAATATTTGAAGGCGAAAGTTTATAAAAGATAAAAGTTTTAGAATGTCCTTAAAGAAAATCTAGTTTAGTCTTCTAGAAAAACTAACCATCAATTTTTGGTTAAAATACAAAGATTTCTTAAAATTGTTTATATTTTTTCATGATTTATAGAAGAAACTTAAAACAGCTTTTGATAAAAATATAGCATAGTTTCCTTTTATCAACGAAGAAACAAATAACATAAAAACTATCAAAACATGAAATGAAACTTTAATGTATGAATCTAAGCTTTCCAAGAGCCATACTATCAGAAACTCTATAAATCTAATAATTCCTATTCAAGCAATCTTAACGAATCCACAATATTAATGACCGGTATTAAGTCTAATCGCCAGGCGTTTAAACGGGAATTCGCTTAAATCAGTTTATTGCGATATTCAAATGCAATTTAAGAGCTTATTATATGCTAGACAGTTGCGGCGTCTAATGTTTTAGCAAACGAGGAAAACTTTTCTCGTATTCGGTTCCAATTTGCAAATATTAGTTTTTCCTTGGGGACACTTTTGAGCGGAATTCATCATTTTGGCCCGTTCGCAGATGCTTTTGGTTGTGTGTTAGTGTGTATATCACACACACGATGGCCATTTGCATGTGTAAAGAGTGGTGCAGGGGGGATAGGAAGCTAGAGTAAATGAAAACTTTCGGCCTGCAGCACTTTCGGCACCGGCATAAAGAGCCAAGCGTTAAATTCTTGTTTCCACCAGCCCAGGCAGCTAGAAAAGTTTTCAGTTTTTCCGTGTTTTCAGTGTTTTCAGCATATGGGCGGCAGCTCATTGCTCCGGTTTTGCGGATGTGTGGGTGCTGCTTGCCTCGCCTTGCCCCGCCTGTGTGTGTTAGCCAACTTTTGTGCAAGCAAAGGAAATGCTTGACATGTCTTGTTCCTTTCGCTGGCTCGCTTATTTTATTTAGCATTTTCTTTTTTTGCCTTTTGTTTGGCTTGCGTTTAGCCTGTGGCTAAGAAAAAATGCTATGTTGTGCGTTTAATTTTTCCTTTCCTTTTTCCCAACATTTTAATTATTTGCTTGATCGTTTTTTGTTTATTTATTTTTTCCGCTTGCCTTATGGCTCTTATGAGGCAATTTGAACCACTGACCGACCCCCCGAAGGACCTTCAACTTATCTTGTTTATTGCTGTGGGTTTTTTCTTTTCTGTCTGGCAATTTGATAAATTGCATAAATATTATCATCAGATTCACAGGAATATTTAGATGAGCGAAATAAACAATAAATCGTCGGATTTATTTAACGCAATTAATGCTGAATGTTGATTTGGGTTGGCATTTTGGTCTGTGTCTGGCTCTGAACGCTCTGGTTTCCCGTTCATTGAACGGCCACATTTTTTGACTTATTGACACTTCACATTGCCCGACATTCAACTTAATTGCCGAAGGAGACGCTCATGCATATATGTTTTATGTACATTTGTGTATTATTTATTAGACTTCAGACAACATAAATTCGTTTTGTGTTTGTATTTTTGGTTCTTGCTTTGTTTTAATTACCCATGCTAAATAGACGAGAATTTCTTTTGGCAGTGAAGATGTTTATTCTAATATAATAAATTATTGTAATTGATTTGATATATGTATACGTACGTACGTACGATGAGGTTAACAGACTACAAAGATAGCTATAGTCGCTTGACTTTACTTTGTCGAAATACTTGGCATTCCCATGGCGCTAAAATATATATTTTGTTTTGGTTTAAATTTATCTTAATATATTCATGATCATCATATGTAAACACTTTTAAATAATAAAAAAAAGTGATTTTTATTTGATTTGATTTCAAGTTTTTCTTATTAAATAAACATTTTAATACATCATTTAGCTTACTTTGCAATTTCAACTGTTTTTTTTTCTTTAATTTTCCAATTAAGTGGCTTTGTCACGTTATGACATCCTCATCAATTTTAATATATTTTAATTAAATTTAATATTTTTCATTCAATTGCACAAAGTGGACATAGTGAGACCCTTGAGCAGCATCATCGTTCCACCTAGAAAATGTCATCGAAAGTATTCAATTAAGGCCCATCGGGAAAATGTTGTTTTATCAACACAGAAAATTCATTTAATTTCGCAGACAATTGCATTGAAATTGATTTACTCGCATTTGAATAACCATTTTGCTTGTCTGTGCGGAATTCTCTTAAAACACAAATAATTTGTCATTTATATATATATATATATATATGAGTATATATTGGATATGTTTTGCCCTTTTGTTTGCTGTGCTGTGTCACTTCTACCACTCACTACCGCCCACCGAATGACATTGAAGCTGAAATTCAATTATGCCATTGAATTTCATTTCATTCCTCTGCAGAGCAACGACGATTTTTATCATCGGTTTATGGCCGCTGATTAATTTATGCCTATTATTCTCGATTATATGATGAATTTACCGCTTGGCTGGAACGTTTATATGGAATCCTCCTGTTAGCGGACCAAGAAAAATCAAATATTTCGACATCGACATCGACTCACACTGAAAATAACTTGGCCAAAATGTCGCACTTGACTTGACCCAGAAAAACATTCTCATTTGCATATTTACATTGCCTATCTGCATGGAATTTATTCCTGGTTGTTGTTGCTGTTCTTATGGCAGCAGTGGGAAAAATAAAAAAGAGAAAGCTAAAAAAATATATATAAGAAAATATTTTCCCTTTACGTAAACGACAACGATGCAAGAAATTCCAAACTGACGGAAAAGCAAGCGCAGATATTTCAACAACTTCTGACTGCCAAGGAAGGGGGCGGCCAAGAGGCGTGGTCGCCGTCTCTCCTCGTCTTTATCTCTGGTCGGGGTGCCCCTTAGCCATAGCCATCCTTATAGCATTCGCATAGTTAGTTGTTTCGCTAGCTGCTCAATGACATGTGCTGTCTGAGTGCCAAAAAATGGGAGGAAAAAAAACGCAAAATAAATAAATAGCAAAAGACTGGACGCCTCGCAATGTTATTGTATCTTGCAGATGCGAAATTGAACGGCGAGCGCCGAGTTCAGCGCACTTTGAAAACTGTTCGTTGCCCTGATTTTGATTTTGGATTTGGCTTCAGCCAAGCAGATGCCCAAGATATATAATACCAAAAAAAGAATCACAGATCCTCTCGTTCTTCTTGGGGCACTAAGAGAAAAATGTGTGTTAAGTTTGGGCATCGAAACTTTATTATAATTCTGTTATATCTTTATGTGGTTTAGAAAAATAACTGTTGGAAATCTTTAGGTTTATAGTAGTTTTTACAAAAACGTAAAGCCTATAAATGCTTTGTTTGATCTTCAAAAATTATTCTTAATTTGGAGTACCACTCAACATTTTCTATAAAAAGATCTTTAAACTTTAATAGAACTATACTATACTTTACTATATTATCTACCTATCTGTGTTCAAAGTGACGAAGAATTCAATTTAATTTCCTTCAATTGTTATTTATCTTTTCTCTCTCTGCACAAAGGGGGGCTGGCACTGTAATTGCGTGTAAAGATTAACTTATTTATGTGTGTGCGAAAGAGGTGGTGGTGGAGGAGGAGGAGGAGCTGCACGCGTGCCTCGTGCATTTGTTATGCATCTGCGTAATCGTATCTTAAAGATACAATTGCAGCCAGGCATTGTTATTGTCGATGGTGGTGGCGGTGGTGGTGGCTCGTGCCCAACTCCGCATCCGCACATGGCCCCCGGCTGCCTGCCGACTGCCTGGGTTTCTGTTGTGGTTACACTTTAATTTACTAGCCATCAAGTGCACATTTATAATTGGAACGATGCCAGCCAAAAGGGGAGACCCTAGAGTGGCTTCTATCTGTTCGTATCCGTATCTTGATACCCTCCCCAAGTTTCCCTCCTTCTCGTTCGACTATATTTACTGAGTCTTCCCCTTATTCTTGGCTTGCCGGTCATAACTGTCAGAGACAAAACGCTGCAGCTTAAGAGGAGGCAAGTCCTCATAGTTACAGTACTGCAACTGCTCCACAATGCTGATAGATTAGTTCTCTAATAGCATCGCAATCCGCATTCAGACAGCACAATAGCAGAAACAGAGGAGCAGCGACGAGTTGGCGGTGAGGTAGGTGGCATCACAAGTGACCACTTTAAGCCAGACACTTCGCGGACCTTTAACAGAGAGTCAGCCAGATGTGAGCCAACTTGGTCAGGTTCCTTGCTAGTGCATAAAAGTTGGTCACGAAAGTCTTGAACTTTAAGTGTAGACAGAATTTAAAATGAACGACGATGCTTAAAATTTAATTTTAAAAGCTATTTTTTTTAAAAAAACAAAACCAGTATATATACTGAAAATCACAAATCGAAGCAGCAGTTCATCTGCAAAATTACTTCCTGTGACAAGAGGAAGACATTTCTGTCGCATTTGACAGCTGTTGGCACATCATCAAAAGCTAGCCCTGAAAAATGTGTACATATTTTGATAAAATATTTTTGCTAAAGACAACATTTTTAAACAAATAAAATCTTTATGACACGGCGCGGTAAATATGATGGTCCAAAAGTAAACAGTTTTCCTATTGCCAGCAGCTGGGAGGAGGTCTTCTAAAATCGAGCAGCCTTGCTTGGGCATAATTAAGAACTGGGTCGAGTGTAGATTTTCAGTTGACTCTCTCATCCTCCTCCTTTTTTTTTGTCAGTCAGGGACAGGGAAAAGCGCAGCCACAGCTACCAACAACTTTTTGCCAGATTCTCCCCATACTTACATACATCCTCATACGTACATAGACGTCAGCCCCGAGAGCGATTGCCTTCGCTCCGCTCTATCCAATTCGCCTCGTGGATAATTAATTGATTGCCCATTTGATTGAACGTTTGATGGATGAGTGCTGTCCGAGTGTTTGGCTCAGTTTGCTAACGGATTCCCCCATTCTGTTCTCTTGCAGTAATTTGCATCGGCTGTTAGTGGAGCAGCCTCGACATCAGTCCCAGCCCCAGTTCCAGCTCCAGCTCCAGCCCCAACAGATCCAGATCCAGCCACAAAAGCAGTAGCAGTCACAGCCACCACCACCGGCACCGCAATCACAGCCAGGAGATCCATCCGCATCCACATTCACATCCAACAGACATGGTGATAAGCAAACCTGATGGTGCGGCGCCCAATGGTGCGGCGGGTGGAGCGGGCGCCACATCAACGGCACAGGCAGCTGCTGCAGCTGGCCTCGATGCCACCGGGAACAGTCTGGCTCATCCCTCGGGGATACCGCAGGATCAAATAGACAATATCATGAGCGGCATCGCCAACACGGGCAACGTCAAAATGAACAATCACCGCAAAAAGCTGCGACAAAGGTGAGTGCTTCTTAATCAATATTAAAGAAATTCAGCTTAATAAACTCGCAGACTTGATTTTAAATAAACTTAATTAATTAATATTCCTTTCAGATTTGATATTATTAAGAAACTAGGACAAGGCACCTACGGCAAGGTGCAGTTAGGTATTAATAAGGAAACCGGCCAGGAGGTGGCCATCAAAACTATCAAAAAATGCAAAATCGAAGCCGAGGCGGATTTGGTTCGCATCCGGCGAGAGGTGCAGATCATGAGCTCAGTGCATCATCCCAACATCATCCACATCTACGAAGGTAACTCGTTTGATGACTTTATAAAGCGAATTAAGCTATAATTACTATTCATTTCAGTATTTGAGAACCGTGAGAAAATGGTGCTAGTAATGGAGTTTGCCGCTGGCGGCGAGCTCTACGACTATCTGTCTGAAAGGAAGGTTCTCACCGAAGAGGAGGCGCGTCGCATCTTCCGCCAGGTGGCCACCGCTGTCTACTACTGTCACAAGCACAAGATCTGCCATCGCGATCTCAAGCTGGAAAACATCCTGCTGGACGAGAATGGCAATGCCAAGGTGAGCTAAGTTTAGTTTACATTTTATGATTACTGAAATAAGATTGGAAGAACTTGTTACTTGGTACTTAATTACTTCACGTTAACGACTTGTAATTAAAATGTCTACCCATTTTCAGATTGCTGACTTTGGTTTGTCGAATGTGTTCGATGACCAACGTCTGTTAGGAACCTTCTGTGGCTCCCCACTCTACGCCTCGCCAGAAATTGTGGAGGGTACTCCTTATCAGGGACCCGAAGTGGACTGCTGGTCTTTAGGTGTGCTGCTCTACACATTGGTTTATGGTTCTATGCCCTTCGATGGGTCCAACTTTAAGAGGCTGGTGAAGCAGATTAGCCAGGGTGACTACTATGAGCCAAGGAAACCTTCGCGAGCCTCCACTCTGATCCGGGACATGCTTACCGTTTGTCCAAGGAAGCGTGCCAGTATCGAGCAAATCTGCTCGCACTGGTGGGTGAACGAGAATGATAATGTATCCTGTCTGGACCTGGCCGAGGATCTAGCCAATCAGACCCCAGTCCGATTGGATGTCCTGCTTTCACTCACACCAGCCACTATAACGGCGGATCAGTTGGTGGTGCCATCAGCGGAAGGGGCAGCTGCTGCCAAGGCGGCGGCAAATGAACGTGTTCCTCGCTCCCATTCGGTGGGCTCAATCCGTGACATGGGACCACCCAATACGGAGGCTGAACGCCGAATTCTGGACATGGTGGCCGGTAAGTCGATGTCCATCTCCCTGCTTCTGAATTCGCTTGAGTGGTCCCCAGTGTGTGAGATAGAAGTACCCGTGCAGCAACCCGCGCTGAGATTGTGTAACAGGATGGGACGATTTGTGCGGACTTAAGTGTGACTTAGGGAAAATTTTAAGGTTTTTCTTAGCTTGGTGATTAGATTCTTAATCTAATCGTAGAAGTAATAGTCCAGCAAATCATCCCACCTTGTTGTGTATATAAATGGAGACTAACTGGCTGCCCCATACACACCGACACCAACCGACCACCGACGACCCACCCACTAACTGATCCTCATCCCGAAACCAAATTCCCACCACATAAACCCATCACTTGCGAGTGTACTAAACCACTTGGAACTAAAGTCATTTAACCAAACTCATTAAACCACGCCACCCTTTCTCTCTCTCTCTCTGTTTCTGTTTCGTGTTTCCAGCTGGAGGAGAAGCCGCTTTGATGCCATCACCCACCAGGACAATTACCCCCGCCCAGAGTCCGGTACAGACCAAGAGGAAGCTGCAGCCCACTGTTTCCACAGAGAATGCAGCTGGAACTACGGCTAAGAAGAAGGAAAAGCCGGCCAATAGCTCGTTTGTGATCAGCAAGGATGGTGTGCCACTGACTGAGGCGCCACCAACCATTATCGAACCCCAAGCCACACTCATGGAGGCGGAAACCATTGCCAATATACCAGAGGAAGTACCGGCTCCAAGTTTCTCCCAGAAAGACATGCAACTGGTTGGTGATCTCTGCGAACAGCTTATGGGTGATGGATCCAATAGCACCGCTACCGCACCGGCAGCTGCCCCACCTGCACCCACACCTGTTGCTCGCCAGGCTACCAGGGGAAAATTGGATGCTGTTGTAGAGACACCCGAGGAGAAGGATGCCACCAAGGTGATCAAGAAGTTTGTTAACAAGCACAAGACAGCTGATCTGGTGAATGCCATCAATGAAAGTGCCTCCAAGGCTGCGGTGCCTGTTCCCGCCGCCGCTCCTCCACCCTTTGTGCGGAAGTGCAGCCTGCAGGATGAATCCACCCTGAACAAATTCAATGCAGAACGTCGGAAATCACGGATCTTGGAAACTGCCGAGAAGTTCCAACCACCGCCACCCGTGGCTGCAGCTGCTCCGGAGAAACCCAAGAAGCTCAGCATACCCGGTGTCAGTGTGGGTAGTTTTAAGAAGGAATTCGAAAAGAAGGCCACCAATCCTCAGACTGTAGAAGGTCCCACGCCTGGTGAACTTAGGGCACAGGAGCAGGTTGCTGCGGCAGCGGCGGCTGCCCAAGAAGCCGAAACCTTGAGCACTCCACCACCATCACCGGTGGTGGCCCAATCCCTAGAGGCCAGTGATTCCAAAAACTCAGTGGCCTCCATTTCACTGGACGAAGCCCGTCGCTCCATGGAGAACTCCATTGCTTTGCTGCTGCAGGCCCAAAATGAATCCAGCAAGGAGGTGGACCAGCTGTGTGCCCAAACGGAGACCATTGGAGTTAGTGAGCCTGCTACTCAGCAGGAGCGCGAGCGTAAGTTGAAGAACGCCCGCGCCATCATCGGAAATGCCATCCAACCAGGTGAGTGATAGCAGCATGATAGATTTTAAGTTTACTATTAGTGATTATGATATCCGTATCTAAGTTAAGCTAAACCACGCAGCGCTTTCAAGTTGACTACTAGCATTACTTAGCACTAGTATCCGGGTTAAGGTTTTTGGGTCAGGTTGCAAGTCAAATGTTAGAGTTTCAAGTTATAGATTTCTACCTTTTGAGATAGTAACTACTATAAAGATTTTACCAAGAACAAGTAATCTTGTGTATATTTTATAAATATGAATCGTAAATCGTTTAATAGTTTTTATTCCACGAACGATGGAACATTTTTGCATTTCCAAGAACTTTCTGAACTATAATTCCATTTAACTTTTTTATGCAAAGAACTTTTGACTTGGTATACTTGTACTCTAAGAACCCGGTGCTATCGTCTTGTTTTCTATCCTTACTTTGGCATATATATTTAATTCCTTTCCATTTTCAATGTGTATGTGAACGTTTTGCAAGCCGAGTGCTGCATGGATTATATTTGGCTTTTGGAATATAATCTCCTGCTCACACTCACCGAACTCCATCTGAAGAACCAACAATTTGAAGCGAATCCTCCTTTCCAATTTGCAATTTCGCTTGGCCAGTCCACAAAGCCAATTCAAAAGAAAAATACAAAAAAAAAAAAAAGAAATGATGAAAATCCTCAAGCAAAAAATACACTCATCATCAACATCATCATCATCACCGAACTCACCTGTCTTTTGTCTTTCGCTCTCTCTTGTGCTGACTACCTCATCGTTGGGGTGGATCGATACGTATGGATTTAAATATCAAAAATCAGAATAGGTGCTCTTTGAAAATTGATTATAAGTAGCTTAAAGAATGACTTTCCTATCCTAAAAAAGAAATTAAAAGATTTTAGTCAGCTGTTCAGATTTTAAGCATAAATTTGTACTTGTTTTTCATTATTTAAATGAAGTTATAAAAAGAAGTAATATTTAAACTTGTATCTTTACAACATATTTAATATTTTATAAAGAGAGTAATCCAACTTTTTATCCAATCGATCGACCCACCCTTTTACCCACACATGCTCATCATATTCATTGACTCATCATCTTAATTTTAGTGATACGCAGGCCAACACCGTTTTATGGCATCGGCAATGGCTTTGGCAACGGCATGGTGGGTGGTGTTAGTGGTTCTGTTGGCGTGGGTGGTGCGTCTCTTAACAATGCACCCAAGCGTGCCCAGAGCGGCAGCAATTTTATGGGCTATACGGGAGGAATATCGCCGGGAACTGGAACGGGAACGGGACAACAACAAGCAACATCGCCACCGATTGCGGGACCACAGACGGCGCCGCCAGTGCTAATATCACCAAATGCTATGGCTGCTGCGAAGCAAACAATACAGCAAAGGATTTTCGGAGGTGGATTGCCCAGTCAAAATAGTCAAACTCAAACAAGGAGACCAGCTACATGGCAACCGCAGCCATCCTACAGCACGGCAAGCATTTTCCAACCGCCTCAGAGTGCGAGCAGTCCATTCAAGATGCTGCAGCAGCAATATCAGCAACGTTGCCAGGAGGATCAGAAGCCAAGTTCCTTGTTTACGCCACCTCCATCGCCTCAATATGCCGCCAGCCATGCCCTCGCCTTCGCCGGCCAAGCAACCAACAGCAGCAACAACTACGGAAACAACAGCAACAGCAGCAGCAGCAACAACAGCAACAGATTCAACAGCAGCAGCAACTTAGGCAACTGCAACACGATGCCTAATGTCAATTACAATGTCAATTCGCGCACGAGACCATTCAATCATAATCAAGCTCAAGACACACTCAATACCAATGCCAGTGCCAGTGCTACATGTGCCTTGCCTGCGGCTATGTGGCTGAAATGTAAGTCTTGGCAGCGGCTCCAAAAAACCAAAAAACCTCAAAAAAAAAAAAACCAAACCGAATCCGTATCCGTATCCGTACAAAAAAAAAAAAAACCAAAACATGTGCTTTGTGCTATATGTGCCTGCAAAAAAAAAATTGACCGAAGCAATCCACTCAATCCGTTTCCGTTTCCTGTTGCGTTCCTCGATTATTTGTTTTTCTTTCCGCTCCCTTTGCTATATGAACACTGAATGGCTTTCTGGGGAGATTCCAAGGTTAATCAGTGTCATAATATCCTGGCTTGGTAGTCCTGGCTTTCCTTTCCCGGTATCACACCCAAATCTTTGGCTTTCCTATTTCTTTGGTCGTTGTTTGTTGTTCTCGATGTCTGGTTGTTGTTCTCGTTGTTGTTGCTGCTGCTGTTGTTGCAGTGATGTTGTTGTTGTTGTTGTTTTTCGTGCTCGTTGTTGTTCTGACTTTCAAGTAGTTGTAGTCTCGGCTTAACCCCCTAAAAACAAAAAACACTTAGGCGCGCCTTAACCCTCGAACTGCACTCCTTTGGCCTCAATGACAAGTTACTATTTGTGTTCTCTTACTGTTAACTGATGCTTTAATTGCTTACTTATTCCACTTGCACCATGTACTATGTTTAAATATTCAATAAGATTAACTTAAAGTAATTATTCTACTCTTTACTCTACAGCCTCTCCGGGTGCCGAAGGACCTCCGACTCCCCCTGGAGCGGTCAAGACATCAACGGCTTCGATTACCCTGAAATCGGCTACCCTGCCGCGTCGTAAAATCAACGCCAAGGCGGAGGTCCAACTGGACATCAAGCCGCGAATTCCGGAACAAGGTGCACCACCCCAGCCAGCGATGCGTTTCAGCACTGAGATGCAGCATCCGGTGGCCGATCTGCGCAGTGCCCCGCCACGCGAGGGCCCCATCCCTTACAGTCCCATCAAGACGACACTGCAGGCGAGGGCCACTAGCCTGGAGCCCAAGGAGCATGTCATCACCATCCAGCGACCACCCACGCAGCATGCCTACGGACGGACAAGCTCCAACACAACCACGCGGTGAGTACCGGATAAGGGGCATATAATTCGCATTTTATTTCCTCGATTTTTCTCCGTCCGCCGGAAAGAAAATTCGATGTAATTGGTTGAATGGAACTTAAATTGGTGACTTCAAACTCCGTTAGACTCCGCATTTAATTTCGGGATTGTTTGCTTTAAATAAGATATAGGATAACAACTTAAAAAAGTTTAAACCCAAAAATATCTTTAAAGAAAAAAACGTCCACAACCAACTTCATAAAGCCTTGATTTCCTGTATAAGCTTATGATTGATTTTGCATGTTTTATGACTTTTTTTGCAGTTCCGGTTCGCTGTCACGGCAGTCGACGGTGGAATCCGAATCGGATGCAACCACCACGGCCACGAACATGTCCCAGGCCACCATCACGAGCACCTCGCAGCCCATCAAGAAGAGTCCGCGGGAGTTTATCATCCCGATTGCCGTCGAGGGAGGTGGCTTTATTACGCCCAGGGAGCGCAGCGTGGAGCCATCCGAATCGAGCCATACCACCAGCAGTCGATCCACGTTCACCCGCCTGCGTCCAACGCGTCGACTTGGGTAAGGTTTTAAAGTTTAAATTCCGCCTGGGCCTGGCCAGTTTACTGAAATGAATTTGATATTTCGTATGCAGCTCACTGTTCAGCGAGGCAGGCTTCGATGAGGGCTCGCCATTCCAGAAGATGCGCACCACATCGATAACCAGGGATGGCACCAGCGGAGGCGGCGAGGACGAGGCCCGCTTTACTCCGCACCGACTAAGGTTTGCCCAACATTATCCTTACTTCCGCTTATCCCTATCCCTTGCCAATAGCTTTTCCTATTTACTTTTCACTTGGAGAAATTGCAATTGTCTTAAAAATGAGAACTAAATTAGTTTTCAGTTCAGATCAAAATATGTGCAGAAATTTAGGATATTTGTTAAGTAAATGTAGATATTATATATATATTTTCATGATATCTAAGTTTTCTTTTGAGTGCACTGCTTAAATACTTTAGTGGATTGCTAAATTGACTCTAGTTCACACAGTTTCCTCTACCCAACCCACTTTACCACCCTCTTTTGATTCCGTTATTTTCATCTACATGAATATCTTTTTTTTCTTCTATTTGAAACACCCGCAGAAGCTCAAGACCTGTCAAGAAAATTAGTCAAGACAACGACTCGCAAAGCTCCAACGAGGAGGACGATGACGACGACGATGGCTTTGAGATTCTCACGGCGGAGAATCTGTTCTCGACTTTGCTGCAGCGGGTAAGACGTCATCTGTTTGCCATAATATGGCCCCATCTCTCATCGGGGAATGGTTGGGTCCTCTTTTCCTGATGATTTCTAGGTGCGGGCCCTAACGAATCGCCTGAACGTCAACAGTGACCTGACTGTCGGATTCCCCAGCCATTCTAGTCGCCTGCTCACGGACATTTCACGGCAGGCCCAAAGTCATAGTCCATTCTGGAGCCAGGGCAGTCCCTTTGCCAGGTGAGTGTGTCCCCGTTTGAAAGCCAGCGGAATGAAGTTCAAGTAGACCGGAGTTGGAGTTTGGAGTGGCAAATAAAGTTGATTGCCATCCATCCATCCATCCAACCAGCCGGCTGCCAGTCAGTTAGTCAGCTTATGCAAACGTGTCGCGGCACTGGCTCTAGTTAATAATTTCATTAAATTCCCTTGGAGTTGTCTCCCTTGGAAGTGATTTGATTAAGAGCCGGCTTCTGTGAGCTGAAAATGGTTGCGACTCTGGCTTATCGCAAACGGTTCAGCTTTAAGTCCTAGCCCAAACATTGGATAACTGCTTAAACCGCCCACCAACATTAACTGCAATAAATTTGTTGTCCATTTCTTACATGCTGCCCTCCACATGCCTTCCATCTAACAATTAAAAAACAAAAAAAAACAAAAATATTCACCAACCATGCTTAAACTAATTATTCGCCAAGTGTGCTTAGATCTCAAGTTAGTTATACGTATAGCGAAACGGTCGAGAAGAAGAAAGTGTAAGTATAAAGGCTCGATACGGCTTTCTAACTAATTGAGACCTTACAACCCTATGCTAAAAGGGCAGTGTGTTTTGAAAACAATTTTATTATTTAAATAGTTTTTAAAAGATACGATGTGTGTTCAAAAAGTAAGGTGACTTTGTATTTTCAAGAAAAACTATTAATTTATTTATCAATATTTATGTTGTCCCCTTCAAAGTAATCCCCCTCAGATACAATACACTTATGCCAACGGTTTTTCCAATCCTCAAAGCACTTCCCATAAGCACTTTTCGGTATAGCCTTGAGCTCTTGCAGCGATGCAGTCTTTATCTCTTCAATCGTTGCAAATCTCCGTCCTTTCATAGGTCTCTTCAGTTTTGGGAACAAGAAAAAGTCACATGGGGCCAAATCCGGTGAATATGGTGGCTGAGGCATTATTGTGGTGTTGTTTTTGGCCAAAAATCTCCACAAGCAAAGATGAGTGAGCAGGGGCATTATCGTGATGCAAAAGCCATGAATTGTTTTTCCACAATTCTGGACGTTTTTTCGTATTGCTTCTCGCAAACGGCGCTTAACTTCCAGATAATACTGTTTATTGACCGTACGACCATATGGTAAGAACTCCTGATGCACCACGCCATGGTAATCGAAGAAAACAGTGATCAAAACTTTGACATTTGATCGAACTTGGCGTGCTTTTTTCGGTCTTGGCTCGCCTGGGCTCTTCCATTGGGACGATTGGGCTTTGGTTTCGATATCATAACCATATACCCATGATTCGTCACCAGTTATGACCCTTTTGAGTAAATCTGGGTCGTCGTTGACGTCATTCAACAGCTCTTGAGCGATGCTCATGCGACGGTTCTTTTGGTCAAAATTCAGCAATTTCGGAACAAACTTCGCTGACACACGACTCATACCCAAAACGTTTGAAAAATTTCATGGCACGAGCCAAGCGATATACCGACATCTTCGCAACTTCTCTGATAGTGATTCGACGATTTTCCAAAACAATTTTCGTCACTGCTTGAACGTTTTCATCAGTTGTTGACGTGCTTGGGCGTCCAGAGCGAGGCTGGTCATTGGCATCTTCCCGGCCATCTTGGAAGAGTTTGTACCACTTGTACACATTTTTTTTACTCAGAACAGTTTCACCGTATGCCACTGTCAACATTTCAAGTGTTTCAGAGCACTTAATTTTATTTTTTACACAAAATTTGATGCAAATCCTTTGATCCATATTTTTCGATAGCAAAAAATCGCCGAGCTCGCAAAATAACTTGTAACTTTACGCCTCTCACAACCAAACAAAAGAGGATGTTCCATTGAAACTTGGTACAGATGTTAGGGAAGAGTGTACCAATATAACAAAACAAAAAAATCGATAATCGAAAATATGTTGCCCGCGAAATTTGAAAAGTCACCTTACTTTTTGAACACACCTCGTATTTTAAAAATATATCTATCAAATTTTGTTTGGAAACACACTGATCTTGCTGCTTCTTAAAGCAAATTCAAAACTTACTTTCGCATCGCACAATCAAACCGCATTCCATTCATCCCGCCTACAATCCAAGCTATGTCTTTCACCTTCTCCTGCTCCTGTTTCCAGGTGCGGAGAGCGCTGGCTGAGGGTCTTGAACATTACGGAGCGGATGCGTCGATGGTTGGGCCACTTCCATGCCCCCAAATGTTGCCTGTAAGTTGGCAAAGATGTACCGTACCGTGTGTAATGTGCAAGTCCCTCGGCTAAACGTTCGATAAACGCAACGCAAATCGCAAATGCATTGTTCTCACCGGTGTCCAACCGTTTTATCTTGATCTTGATATCCTTCACAGCCGCCTGAACAGCAGCAATAGCAGCGGACTGGGAGCTCCGTGGCGGCACAGCATGTCCCGGGATCTGGGCAGTGACATGGAATCGATGTTCTCGCGTACGGGCGCCACGCTGCCAAGAGGTGAATATCACAGAATAAAGAGTAAATACCTAGATCAGTAGAGTGAGACACGCCCAATCAGAGCCGATGTAGCGACGATGAAGCCACACAGACAAAAAAAAAAAAAGAAAGAAAAACAAAAAAACAAGAAAAGAGAAAAACAAATGTAGAGCTAAAGAAATGCGCTGCAACGTATGCTACGTAAATAAGAATACTTTCAATTTCAATTCATGCGTATATCGTATACTTAAACCTGTTTTATTTCAAGTAGTTTTTGATGTCTGCTAAACCAAACAAAACAAAACAAAACCAACAAATGAACACAGATCACAGATCATTGATCATGTGAATTACCTTGTCTAATTAGTCTAAACCATATATATTGTCCCCACAACCACAACCAATAGCCAAAAAAATCAAATCAAACAAAAAACACAACAATTAATCATAAGTGTCTACTGTAATTATCAAGTGAAAATGCCAATTAATACTTAAACAATGACAAAACCATAATTTCCGTTCAAGACTATATTTATTTTATTTGATTTACTGTTTTGTGTGCGCGCACAGTTCTTAATAGCATAATTCAAACTCTATCAATACAATATTCACTCTATATCTATAACTATATCTATATCTATCCAGTGAACTATCTATATATCTAAATGCTGTCTGTCTTAGAGCACCTATCTTTTGTTATTAACCCTTAATGCCGCTGACGCTTCCAAAACCACAATCTATATATTTATTGCTCAAACAGAAGAAGAAGAGAAGGATAAAAACAAAAGAACCACCCCACTTCCCACCTTAACTTATGCACTATTTATTTATTTATTATTATTATTTACCCCTATTATGATTTGCCTTTCAAATTTTTGTTCTGCACTCATGCAATGATGATGAAAATAAAGTTACCATGCTAAAAGGAAAAGCAATGGAGAAAAAGCCAAGAATTTGTTAAGTCAATAAAAAGAAAAAGTGTAATCAAATCGTATTCAAAGTTCTGTATAGCAGCGCAGTTACCTATATACAATATATATATTTATATAGATACGCTCATCTATGGCGAACCCGAATCAGGCTTATAACCCTTGACCCAAACGTTATTCGAAATGAGATGATGAAAATGTTAATGGCGAACCGAGGAGATTGTACTTAATGTTAACAATGAAATAAACTAAAGCGAATGATACCAACACCTAATAAGTTTACAACATTTTGCAGTGAGAACAACAACATAGATGACAATAATAATAATAATAATAATAATCATCATAATATTAATAATAAATGAGAAAACAATCCAAAACGAAAGAAGACAAAACCTTTTGTTATTTTATTTGTGGTGACCAATGAGATTTTGTTTTCGCAACCAAAAGAATTGTTCGATCTCTATATATACATATTTTCTTTGGTAAATTTACTTGTTGTACAGTTTTTTATGCAAATGGCCCCGCTACCTTAAATTTGTTTTAGTTTTACCAACTTGTTTGAATACATATTTATATATATATATATATCTAAATATATATCCCTCACCAACAACAAACAAAACAAACTACAAGTTTTCTAATGCGCTAACCCAAAAACCAAAGACAAAGTTTCAAGTTGAGTTTCCCAGTTCTTCTTTTTCTTTTTTCAATGTTTTTTATTAGTTACAAACAAACAAAATTAAAGCCTGAAAATGCCAAAAAGAAAATTAAAACACCAAGCGAATAATAAGTAATCGAAATTAAAACCAAAATTTTGTGTTGTACAAGAAAATTTATTTGTTTAACACCACTAAGCTCACACGCACACACACACACACCTGCAAATACAAATACATGCGCACCAGCCAACCAACCAATACACCCAAAGCTTCTCAATGTAGTCTTTACTCTGTCCACGCTGTTAAATTAAAAAAAAACCAAAAACCGCCAACAAGCAAGCTAAAAAACCAAACCAACAAACAACTAACTTGGCACTAAAAAATTATGTTTCCAAAAGACAAAATTTGTTTATATATATTTAAAAAAAAAAAAGAAGAGAAAAACAAAAACAAATTTCTGAGTTCTGGGCTTTTTTTGGATAAATCTTTAACCAAGTAATTTGTAATATTAAACCCAACGACAATCTCTTTTTGATGTGAAACTTAGTTGATGGAGCAAAACCAAGAAAAAGTTGAAGAAAAAATGTCCAAAACTTTGAATACGATAATGTACAGAACTGAAACTCTCTCTCTCTCTCTCAGCTACTAATCGAACTTATTACGTTCATCATCATTCCATACCGTAGAATAAACCCTAACCCAAAGTATATATATATCATCATCTATCTCGCAAATCGTAGACGTAGTTAGAGCGTTACTCGAGTGATTTGTAATCCACCATCACCACCAGCCAATGATTTTTTATGTATTACGAATAATGATTTTATTATTGGCCGTTTACACACGTTTTGTACTTACTTTCGTTTACAGTTGGTTTAACTACTTTAACTACTACCACGCCCACAAAGCATGTTATAACCATTAACCAGAGTCCGTTCAGTACTGCCACCAAATCGCATCCGGGCCATTTTGCCACCGCCACGACCACGGCCAAAACAGTGGCCGTTGCCGTTGCCGGCGTTCCGAAGCAGCTAACAATAACCACCACGACCACCACCAACAGTAGCAGCAGTAACGCCAACGCCAACGGCAGGACCAGACCACCATCCAGTCAACCAGTCATCCCGGCCAGCGCGGCCATAATATCCGCAACCACACCCAAGCTGACTAAAACCACAAGCAGCACCACCACCACCATCACCACCACCCCAACCGCCAGTCCAAGGAAGCAGCCATAAAGGCCAAGTTATTTGGTTGGTGGGTGTGACCTGTGTGTGGGTGGTGCTGCTTTTTATTTTAGACTGCCCAAAACCAAGTTCCATTTTTTTATGTTGCCAAAATTCGATTTGCATATCTGTTTATTGTTTAAACTGAAGCTTTTAAAATTTCTATGTTTTTGTCATTTTGAAGGCAAAAATTCGTTTAGTGCAAATTAATTGAAAAACTTTTTAATTAAATCCTAGCGGAGCTGATGGAATTCGCCTTTTAAATTTTATTATATATATAAATATATATTTTTAAATTTGAATCGAAAACCATGTAATTTTTGAGGCAACAGTAAGAAGCACAACATTCCCCAAAGTACAAGTCATATTGTATTATTTGTGATTTTGATTTTAAAATTAATTTTAAACGTCAACGAGTTACTCATACTCAAGTCATTTTTACTCAACTCCATTCGCCTCAGTCAAGCATTCCTCTAGCGCAAAAGCTTCAAGCATACCAATTAAGCAATACTTTAACTTAATACCTAATACTAAAAACGGATGAAGACGTAAACAAACTGAAAACCCATAACTGATAACCGAAACTAAACGATTAATCTGTGGAAAGCATTAAAATATGAAACTATTTTTTATACACCAAGTGAAATAAAACATGAAATCCAAATTGTTACTGCCCGTTGTTTATTCGTTTCCTGCACGTGAGCTAATCCCAGTTATGTATCTTTAATGATTTTGTTTAACCTTTGTTGGATAATTGCTATCCCGAATCCTGCAAGTTTGTTAAGTGTTCGAGTTAAAGCTTCCCTGCTTTGATTGCGTCTCTGGAAAGTAATTCTTTTGGTTGCCAAAACGAGAAAACGAGAACAGTTTTCAGAACTCTCTGGGGCTGAATGATGTGTGGGGCAGTCAATCAATCAGTCAATCATTGTGATCGACATGTAAGTAAATCTGAATTATTGAAATAAATCAGTTCATTTGGCAAGTAAGTGGAATACTTTTTCAATCATCTAAAAGTTTGTATTCTTTTTTCGTATCTCACGCACATATTTTCATGATTTCTATGCCATTTAACCTATTCACAGGTCATCATCAAGGCAAGGCTAAACCTAGCTCAGCTCCTGCCCAAGGTGAAAAGGGTTCCACCGCGGGAGCATCAAAGGTCACGGAGAACAATGAGGAGCCTTTGGATTTGGCTGATCTGGATCTTTCGCGGCTGCGTCTTAGCAAAAAGGACTTGGAAACCTTGTCCAGCATAACTCCTGGATTGCCCAAGTGTTTTCAAGAGCAACTGCTGGCCAAGCTGCCGCCCACCCAAGCTCGGAAGTTATCTCGCACCCTGAGCGTTCAGACCAGTGCACCCAGTAGTTCCTCCACTCCAAAGGTTTACAAGCGTAGTCAGAGCGGCGGAAGGGGTTACCAGCCAGAGCAAAGTCAGCAAGAGGAGTTATCGGATTTTAAAACTAAACCACTCACAGATGCGCCCAAGACAACTTCTGCCAGTACAGCCATTTACAGGCGGAGCCTTAGTCGCAGTCAGGCGCCCGCGCAAACTTCTGGACAGGATGCCGAGAGCCGAGCCAGCCAAACGACTAAAAGCCGAAGTAGCAGTGTCTGCCGAGATGACTATGGCAAATCCTCCCTTTGCAGCAGCAGCACCTATACCAGCGACATCAGCGAGAAGTACAAATACTACTCGCCATACCTGAGCAAGTCCAGCAATGTGAGTCCATCGATGGCATCAAAGGACGCGCCGGAGAAGCGTTATAGTGGTGGACTGGGACGACCACCGAGCGGATGTCTTTCACCTCCACCTCAGTTGCCACAAGTTGCTGCCACTGAAGGCAGCAGTTCCCTGAGGGTTGGTCGGTCTTCGCAACGTCGAATTTCCCGTTTTTTGCGTCCCGATTTCTTTGATGAACCCAAGGAGCGGGAAACCCAAAGCATGCTTAGGGAAATTCGTGAAAAATCCATTGATCGCCAGGATCAGGAGCAGACGCAGACACAGGACTTGAGGCGTCGCAAGCACAGTTTACCCAATGTGGAACAGACAGAGCAGCCTTTAGAAACTGCACCCATCAGATCATCCATTAGGCATTCACGGAATAAAAGCATGGAGCTTTTTACCGACGCCGAATCAAATGGACAGGTTCAGGAACCTATCAAAACATCAACATCAAGGCAACGCAGTACTTCCAGGGCTCGGGAACTGGAAACAGAACTTGACAAACATGAACTGGCGGATAAGATACTCCAGGAATTGCAGCTCCTATCAGCTGTAAGAACCCAACATGAACAGACGCAGGAATCTGAGAAAACCGAAGAGACCTCAACCATAAAAAAGGTTAAAAAGTTTAAACCCAAAGAATCTACAGCAAATGAGCCAGAAGCATCGAAAATCTCTTCCACGACTACCTCAACTACAACCACTTTGGTGAGGAAAGTAAAGAAGGTGGTTAAGAAATCAGATGATATCTCTAAGGCAGCTGGTTCGGAGAATGCTGATCTGGCTAGCTCTGCTCCCAAGGAAACCAAATTAAAGAGACCCAAGTCGTACCCCATGAAAGATCTTGGATTGAGCCTCAAGTCCTCCACAGACCTTCCAGAGCCGACTGCCTCACTTCTACCCAGCAAATTACCCAGCAAGTTGCCTTCTGGTCTCACCAATGAATCCGCGGCAGAGCCTGCTCCTCGAGAAAGCCGTCTGATGAGGCCCAAAAGTTATCCGGCGACCAAATTGGCCACCCCCAAAGATCTGCGTAAAGTAACCCGAAGTGGAGTGGCTATACCGACAATAACGGAAGCTATTCAAACTCCCTCAGTTATGGCAACTCCAACTAGTTCCAAATCCACTTCGGAGGAAAAATCACTATCAGCCACGCCAACTGGAACCATGTCCACCGTGACAGATCCCAAAGATACGGCATCCTCTTCCAGCGATTCGCGACCCACAACTATTAAGAAGATCATTAAGGTGTCGAAGAAGTCCAAGCTAATGCCACCCACACCAGTGACGCCAACCACACCAACCACAACAGCAACCACCACAGCAAACAATACACCAGCAGATAGCTCCAAGGAGTCAAGTCCGGTGATCAAAGCCAAGTCTCCGGAAAAGAAACCTAGTAAGGGCTTGCTCTACGCTTTGGGCCAAAAGTTTGAGAAATTGCGGGACTCTGCGATGAGTAAGGAGAAGAAAGCTAGCTCTACTGGAACCGCAGCAGCTTTGGCCTGCACCCAAAAGCAAGGATCCCCCGAAGAACGCAGTTCTCCAGAGAAATACAAGAAGAAAATTTTAGATACAGAGAAATCTGTAGAGCTTGGAGCCACCGAAGACAAACGGGTGGATAAGCGATCGCGCTTTGATACCATGCTACGCTCCTTGAGGGAGAGATCCGTACCCAGATCACAACCCAATGGACGAGTAAGTCCCAAACGAGCAGCCAGTGTGGAAGAGCTACATGCAGGATCCCAAGAACATCAAGGAAAACAAAGTGGAGCCGTGAATAAGATGTTCGGTGGGCTGTTACGCCGCTTCGACAGGGAAAGCAGTGAGCAACGTCGGGTCAGGAGCACACGATCCACTAGCAACATTGAACGACAGGTGCGCGAGGAGCAGGATCGAGTCTTGGATACTTCGCTACCAACGTCACCCATCTATCAGAATGTGGTAAAGAGCACAAAGGTCAAGACTACTTCAACGCCAGCTGGTGAGGAAAACTGCAACTGCGAGACAGCCTGTCCAGATTGTCGGCAAAACAAAGGACAGAACCCGACTCCCAGCAGTGCTGCAGCCAACACGTCGACCACAAGCAGCAAGGAGAAGCGGAAAGGGCTGATGCTCGATTTGGCTAGCGCCAATATAACTGGCAGTGGAGCTCCAAGCTCAGTGACCACCGCAACCACAACCACCACAAGCGGAAGTAGTTACCGAGGATCCAAGACAAATCCAGCTTTGCTTAATGGAAACGGTGGACTGGGAATGGGAATTTACTCGAATTTACCACCCTATCCAGGAGCCATAAAGAGTGCCAGTTCCAACAATAGCTCCAGCCAGCAGTCCGTGGAAAATGCCACCAACAATAACTCAACGAATACCAATAATAATTGCAGCTCGCAAACGTCTGGCTACAGAACCTCATCGGCTCATGAAATCAACCGGAATAACCCGCTGTTGACGCCCTCCTTCGAGAACATTGCCAACTACTCCTCAGATTCGAGAAGCTACCAGGATGATTGCGCCTCAACCTCGACGTTCCTGTCGCCCACCGAAGAGCCGGAATTGTATTTTGACAATTGGTCCATCTGCTCCGAGGACAATTACATGTTGCATGCCACACCCTCGCCCACGGTTTCTCGATTGTCTAGAGCTTCCTTGTCCTCACCCACACGCTGCTCTGAGAGCTCTGATCCCAACGAGAGTGTGATCGACAGGATCAAGCGTCGCAGCTTCTATAGCCGTTTCAATGAGCAAAAGAAACCACGACGCACCAGCAGCATAGTGGGTCCTTCGGCAGTAAGGGATTACTATCGAGAGCAACAGGCGGCGGTTAAGGCACGTTCCAGTCACAAGCTGCATGCTCCAGACCTGGAACCGCCACCAAGGGCTCATTCACCGGATATAGCCCAACAGTTCTTTAGACCCCTGAAGCTTAGTCCCGTGGGAACAGAACTCAAACCTCCGGTATACCGGTCAACCATGGATTATTCTGCATCGTCTGCGGGAGCCACCAGCAAGCCAAGGAAGAGCTTGAATGACATTAGAAATACCTCGCCCTCGTTCCTCAGCAAAAGGTATGAGACCCCCGATTATAGTTCGGTGCCCATGCGATACAAGAGCTCCTCCAGTTCGAGTCCGAGTAACGGAGCCATTGCCAGTGGCTATTACAACACGTACAATCCCAAGCGCAGGTCATCGTATACGCTTAATGGTAGCCTGCCCACTGCCACCAGCGGAAGCAGTGCAGCAGGTAGCAGTCACCTGGATGGCTATGCCACCCTGGGTAGGAGATCTATTCGACCTTATGATCATCGAACAATGTCCCTGCTAGAGCCACCAACCACAAGTACCAGCCGGAGCGGCGAAGGAGTTTCCTATCAGAGGAGAGAAGCAAGGACACCTGTCAGAGATTATACCTCCAGCATTTCACGGTGAGAAGACAGATTCTCCAGAAGATTCGCAATAACCATTTAATTTGTTTTCCAGCTCTGGATCGCGTTACCGCACTTCCTCGGCCACTCGCAGTCCGACAAACATTTGATGTTCCACACCGCAGAATGGCTTCTGCATCTTCTGCTACTACTCCAAACGGAAGAAGACGAGTCCCGGCCACGGAATTGGGCACGGACATGGCCAGGCCATGAGCACGCCACCCAACACCACCGCCTCCTCGTCGTCCTCGCGTGCCAGCAGCGGCGGCGCCAAGAAGCAACAGCTACAGCCTGCCCCCATTCAAGCCCAGCAATCTGGCCACCATCATCATCACCACCACAACGAGCAGCACAAGTTCTAGACTGGCCTCGAGGCTCCTTAAGATCCGTTCCCAGACACCCAATACTATATACCAAATACCAAATACCTAAATCTACTTAGGCTTAGAGATTTTTGATAATTTTTTATGTAACTTAGCCAAAGTTATACTCTAGTGCAGACTTTTGGACGCTGCCTCTAGTCGTAGGTTTGTTGTAGTTCGGATATAGCGGAGTTTCAGCCATAGATCGTGACTCAATAATGCACATATGCATATATACGATTTTCAAATGATTGTGCCTTGGTTCCTTCGGCGTTTTTAGATTTAGCCAATAGCATTAAAACGTTGATTTTAATCTGTAAGTGTGTAAGCGAAACGAAAGCGGAAATAGAATGAGGGAGAGAAACGGAACGGAAACGGAAGTAAATGAGAGACGTGTTTCACAATATATGTATATGTATTTTCTATGCTATTTTTGTGAGGATACCTCGCGCCGAAAATGCGTTAAAATTTCTATGAAATAATTTTAACAAAAAATTTTTTTGAATTATACAGAACTGATGGATTGTTTTCGAGATTTGAATAGTTTTTAAATAGGGACAACTTTCGTTTGCTAGGACTATTGATGTTATTGCGAAATAATAGAAAATATGCGAACTGCGAGCGAAATTGGAGAGAGAGTGTTAGGTAAAAGTATCAACAAATAATAAGCGAATTTAACAAAGCAAATTAACAACAACAAAAAACACGAAATAAAAAGTAATAGATCTAGAGTTTTGGGTAGAATCCGAATTCGAAGTTCAAATTGTAATTAGAGCGTGAGCACGAGAAATGTTTTCTAAAAATAAATAAAAACTGAACCACCAATTAAATGGTTATTATTATTTGCATCTTCTCACACGGCTGTAATTTGAGTAATCCGATTAATGACCCCCGTGATTAACTTTGCTTCTGAAGCTTGTAAGTTGGCATAAAGGGTATATAGTATGTCCACTTCCATCGGCGAATTGCATCCATGCCAAATGGAAAATCATAGTCGGTGGCTGTGCCATCATTGATATTATCATCGCCCAGGGGCATCTCATTTGCCCAGTCGATTAGACCTCGCTCCGCCGGTGTTCCCGGTATCACATTGTCTAGGAAGCATCCCAAAACTCCGCCCACCAGAATCGTTGTGCCCAGAAGCACCGACAAAGTGGAGTCTACAGTTTTGTTTCCAGTGTCAATAGCTCCAGGGTTCTTCTGCATCCAGCGACACAATACCATCGGGAAAAATATGGATAGTCCCAGTATATACAGATTCCTTGCGGATCGCAGATCCACATATTGCAGCGTAGACAGGCCAAAGGCTATTATCATTCCAAACATCACGCAGAAGATCCCGCCCACCACGGAGTCGGGAATAAGGATAAATATGGCCCCAAATTTGCCAATTACTCCTTGGAGTACCATTATCAAAGCTGCCCACTGGATTACACGACGTGATCCGATCTAAAAAGGAAAGATTAATGCTTCTGTCAACGTAAACTATGCTTCGTCTTACCTTGGTGACCCCGATTGCACCAACATTCTCTCCAAAGGTATTTGTTCCATTTCCAGCCCCCCAAAGTCCCGCAAGGACTGTGCCCAATCCTTCTGTTCCGATTCCTCTATTGATTGCATGAAGCGGAGGCGAATGGGCACCGGACATCTGTGACACCGTGGGATAATAACTGAGTGACTCCACCGTGCAGGCTAATACTCCGGCTAACATCCCCAGTACGCCAGACAGTGTCACCGAAGGCCATCCAAACTGTCCTGGATACGGTACATAGAACCACTTTGCGCTAGTCAGTACATTCAATCGAACATCTGTTCGAGAAGGATGCGATGGAGGAAAGACATCGGTGGCTGTCAGTATGCCACAGAGACCCCACATTATCATAATAGTCAGCAGAACAGGAAAAAGCCGAAACAACTGGAACTGGCGCACCTCTATACCATGACCCTTGCGGTAGGCCAAAATTGGCACGGAAACATTCGACATTATTTGGGAGAAGAGCGTTAGCATGCCAGTGGTTCTGTTTAGAAATGGGATGATCAAATCAAAATTACAATATTTATAATATAAATTATACAATACATATAAGATATACTGGGTTAGTTAAAATAAATATGATTGCAAACCGGTATTGTTTAAAGCCTTAGTCATGGGCATTTGTCAGTAGGTTTCTACGAACACCGATTAAACTTTAATTTATGTAGGTAATCAAAACGATTAAATTACAATAATTCTAGTTATCAATCACATTTTATAGACTTAGGCCTAGAATTTGTTTGGTAAAACTCACTCTACGGCAATTCCCCAATGCTTGGAGGCCGTGTCAGCTGCGTGCTCGAAAAGCGTGAGCCCCTACCAGCGACACAGTGGGTACAATGGTCAGCGGAGTTACGTACTTCAGGATTTTCCCTACCAGTCCAGTATAGCCCAGTACTACTTGCACCATTGCTGACACTGCAATCGCACCGGATAGCTCTCGCATTCGCACTTGCCACAATTCCTCCCTTTCCGACTCTTCCATGGCATCCATGATGGACTGATCTGGGCACTTCCACTGCGGCAGAGCCAAAATGGCTAAAGTTGGAACCAAGAATGATATAGTTCCACCCTGAACAATGGGGAGACGAACGCCCCATGTGGCCTGGAAGTAAGTTACGATGCCAGTGACAAAGATCATGGTAGAGATGATGATGCCACGGTTCGCGTCCTCATCCGACATGCACAATGCCGGCGTTAAGATAAAGGGTATGGAGACAATGGCTCCGATCATGGTCAGGTAATGCTGGAATGCAAGGAAGATGCTGAGATACCATGGGGGATTGTCATTAATGGCGTAGAGCAGTTGCGGCTTGGCCTTTTCATTATTCGGAGGCGTGTTAGCTGCTTGAGTGTGAGATTTGGACGCATCAACCTGTGTATTAATAAAAGTGCAAAATATAACAAACCTTTATTAAACACTGATCAAAAAATCATAAGTTTTTAATTTAAATAATCTTATTTTGTAATGGTCTCTCTCGTGGGTGTATAGGGAAACATTTTCATTTGCATTATGCGAAAATTTAATGAGCAAACCTTTTCAAGTTAAAATAATAAAAATACTGTTGAACAGTGTAATTATATTTTATTAATGTAAATTTTGTATTTGTTTATGTTAATGAGTACCTTTTAGTATCAGGCATTAAGATATTCTCAGTTTTTATTGTGTAATTGCAGAGTGCGGATATTTCATTGTTTTATTTATGAGAAATGTAATTAAAATTTTGAATTTATTTACATAACTTTATGGCTTAAAATGTCCCATGGAGGGAGGAGGAATTTAATCTTAGCCGAGTTTGAGTGACGGCTTTGGTCGCCAATCGTGATTAATTGAGCGTGAGTATCAGTGCGGAGATCATTGGACGCCGGTTTTTCTCAGCTTGTTTAGATCGGTAATTTTAATCAGACCATAAATTAATAGCTGATGAGCTGAAGTAGTTAATAAATCACTGTGTTGTCGACTTCAACATTGTTGACTGAAAGGCTTGCGCCGCATAAATATGACAAATGGCATTTGGATGGTTGTAGACCGACAATTAACTCACTCCCCTTCAATCGCTTAAAAAATATTTCTGAATGAACTGTTAATTGCTGGGTGTTATCTCCAATATTTTATCCCACTCAATCCCCATGTATTGACAACACAGCATGATAAAGAATTAAGCGAGAAATTGGATGCACAAAACAGAACTGATAAAAATCAAAATACGGAACAGCATAGATCGGTAGCAATTGGGAGAATTTCTCTTACATAAAACCACGCGTTTACCAAAACACAAAAAAAAACTGTGTTATGCAAAGAAACTTTTGACTTACGCCGTCCTCGACGGTAACATTATTTAGCTCCATGATCATAAGAGCACACACTTTATATCCGCCATAAACTAATTGGGCATAAAGCACTGAAAATGAAAAAACGAAGAATTCCGCTGTACGTCCGATCGCGTCAAAGTCCCGAGACTCAATGCCAAGATCTATTAGCCCAGCCACTTGTCGAATTTCGCTCAATCAAGGCGGCAGTTTTATCGTTCAGCTCTTAGAGAACAGGGCACTCAATTCAAGAGCAAATGAGAGAAAATCGAATGCAGTCAATTGTTCATAGATTTTCATCTTAATAGAGTGCATTTTAAATCCTCTTTATAATTAATAAACAGGAATTTTGTGTCACTGTACGACTCCCCTCCCCAAATGTAACCTTACTCTTAACGCTTTAGACCACTTAAGTTAAAGCAAGACTTAGTTAATATTTCCATGTACAAAACGTATGTATACCTTAAATGTGCCATAAACTAGAGTTTCCCTGGAATACATACACTGATTTTTTATAGATGATTACCTTAATACAGAACCGACTTGTTTGAATAGTCAAAACTTCAAGAGATTATTATAAATAATGTTACTCTATAAAAGTGACAAAGTTGATACTATAAAGATATCGCCCAACAAAATAACCAAATGTGATAAAAGTGTATATTATCTTTCGTTTTCGTTAGACCATGCGAATGTTTTTTGATGTGAACTGAGACGCCCACAATTGAAAGCATACTTTTGGGGGAAACAAAATGTATCTCGCGTTTTATTTCAATTGGAAAAGTAACTGTTCACATTTTTTCTGTAAATATTTAACTAAATCACTACGTACATACATAGTTTAATACACATTAATTTAGTTTTGGTGGTTTTTGTTGTTACTGTTTTATAGTGGTGATATTTTCAATGACTGCCTCTGTCCGTTCTATTCTATACATACACGGGTTAACTTTTGTAGAAATCGATAGATCCGTTTATAGTTATAAGCATTTATAAAAAGTTCGATACAATAATCATACATATTTGTATGAAGTGGGATATTCAGTTTTTTTTTTTTTTTAATGGAAAGTATCTGACAATGCTTTTTGAGGGAGTGTATTCACGCCTTTTTCTGCGCGGCTATTAGTGTAATTTGTTTAACATTAATCATTACGGTTCCATTAAGTAAAGCACACCAAGTTCTGTTGCAGTCTCTCTCTTACAAAAATTAAAACAAGTAAAGGCGTAAAACAAAACTCATAGCGTATAAATAAAATGGTCTAGGACAGTGGAGATTTTGGAGATAGGGACAAAAAGCTTTTGGGCATCACATCAAATCCGTCTCCAACGTCTTTGGGCAGCTAGGCATTCACAGCTCTTCCTCCTCTTTCTCATGCCACACACTGCTCTCGTTCTCTGTATCACTCAGAATTTCTATGACCTCTTCCTCGCCCGTCAGCAAACCCTCCTCTTGTAAAAATCCCTTAAAGCCCTCATCCACATCGCCGTCTCCTTCGGCATCGCCTTCAGCCTCGCAATCATCTGCATTCTCGCCAAGCAAATTCAATTCCGTCACTATGGCATCATCCGTTCCCACCTGGGCGGTATTTGTGGGTGCAGCTGCAGGTGCCGCGGACACATCCATCGGCGGCAGGGTGGCCACTGGATTAAAGGGCGCATCTAGATCCTCAAGGCCGCGTGGTGGCTTCAGCTTCGACAACTCCTCCCGTAGGTGGCGATAGTGTCGGCGCAGAACCATTGAGTTAAATGAGATAGTGCGACTAGCCCTCTCGGTGTACTGCGGCTTACCCAGCTCCTCGATCCAGCCCTCGATTTGGGCGCAGATCTCTTCGCGCTTTAGCCAGAAGTGCTTGTGTATGACCTTAAATTTGGGAATTTTTTTGTTTTTCAAATTGTGTTGAATTGGATTGACTTTGATCAGAGAATACTTACATCTTTAAAGCACTGACTTGGGTTGCGTATCTGCTCCAGCATCGCCCATCGCACGCACGCCTGGTAAATATTGCTGTTGTACTCCCGCGACGAGTTAGTTCCACTCGGAGTGCCACGACTTCTTTCAAAGCCCGGTTCATTGAAATAGGGCTCAGGGACGAGAATCAATGACTGGATAGAGACGAGCACCTGCAGGAAGCTGGATGTCTGGGCATTCCACTTCTCCTCGGGCCGACCGTGCCAGGTGTTAAGAACAGACAGGCATACCTTGCCATCATTATAGAGGTTGGGGTTAAAGCGCACCGAATGGCGTCCCGTGGTCTCCAGGTTGATGAGCATCGGTTGGTTGGGATAGTCAGGCGGAAAGAAAACATCGAACTCGAAGCATCCATTGGCATATGGCGTGTCCGCCGGTCCAGTGATGAGGACCTTTTAGGCCACAAAAACGTGTTAGTAACTTTATAAATTCATTAAAAGAATACTTTTGTTATACCTTCATGATGTCCAATCTATCAGTATCACAGCGCACAAATACAGAACTACTAAAGCTGAGGGGCAGGCTAGTAGAGAGTGTGACCGCCTCCTGGGCGAGTCGCTTGACCCGTGACGGATGGTAGCGATCGCCGGCGAGCCGAACCATCTTTTCAAAATGGTGCGATACCACAAACCGGAAGCTGTTGTTGTCCGACTCAACGATCATATCAAACGTATCGAACTGACGCTTCTTCATGAGCTCCAGGTAGCGCTGTTCAATGGATTTACTCAGCGGCTCTAGCTGCCCGCTACCGTCATCGTTGGTGTGCAGCATGTTGATCAAGGCATCCGCATCGGTGGTCTTCTGCACGAGAACACTTGTTTCATGGATGTCCGGAATGAGCAGAGCTAATCCTTCATCGTCACCATCATCGATGTTGAAAGTCAACTGATGTGTCTGGCCCTTGATGTTCGACTTTTTGTTGACTCTGTCAATGTAATAATGATTTAAAATGTAATACAGCTAATGGCTAAAAGGTGTCGTGTACTCACTTGAGCCGTTTGGCGTAGGTGTCCACGCAGGTCTTCATGTTTGTGAGCAGCTCAACTATAGGTGGTGTGCTTTCTCCACCTCCACTAGCCGCCGGTTGAAGCAATGAGACGAGCATCTTGGAAAGCGACAGAGCACGCAGAAGCTTTAGTATGGCACGGTACAGCGGAATGTGGCGCGTGATGTCTAGCACGGAATCGTTGCGCAGATATGAGCTGAGGGCGGGGATCAGGCAAGACTGCTGCAGAAGGGTTTGGAAGATGGGCGGCAACTCGCCGGTAACATCTCTGACATCATGATATGCCAGAATGTCCTCTCCGCACATGTCACTTGGGATGCAGTCACCAGGATTTATGTAACTCGCCAACACAAGCAATAAAACTGTAACGTGCTCCTCCTCGCTCTTTTGCCGTAGCAGCGCCTGCTCCACATTCCACGACTGGGTAGTGGAACCCGTGCCGAAACCCGTACCCTTTGCCCAGTACATATGGCTTTTGTCGTCCGACGTTGCACTGGGCGTAGCCTCCTCTGGAGCATTGACTTTTGCATTTCCGTTTCCACTTCCATTGCCAATGTTGCCACTTCCATTACTAGCTCCACTTGGTGACGGATCACTGATCGGAGCTCCAATCCTATTATTGTGCGACTGATGCGAGAATATACCTAGGCAGTTGAGAACTAGATGCATGGCCCCCACTTCGATGACCACTCGGCGGAGCAACACGCCATCGTCGGTTGACAACGGCACACTATCTAGAAGCTGCCGGAAGACCTCGAAAGGCAATGTTGGCAAAGATGGTGCTAGGGACAGGCTGTATATATCATCTGAAACGGCAATGGTGTTAAAGAAAATTATAAAAAAATACGTATCAAAGTTACTTACTGCCTTCGCCGTCTCCAGTGACTCCTAGCACTAAACGGAGCAGGCACTGCGCTCGCATCTTGTCCCTTAACAATACATCAGAGTAGGCGGGAAGTCGCAGGAATAAACCAAATGCGGCAAGCGAGTGCTGAGGAACCGAACTGACCGTCGCTTGCTTTGCCGCCGGCTCACAGATGGTGTCTTCTAGATCCTCGTAAATCTCATCATTCGGCTCTAGCTTGACCCAGTCAGAAAGCGGTGGACTCTTTTCCTTCTCGCTAACCACCAAGGTTGTTTTACGGCCAGAGTGCTCCGGATAGACAGTGGGCAGGTAGTGGGCTAATAACGAAAGGCCGCCGCTGCTGGAAAATCGTTGCAATGGTGATGGCAAGGGCTCAGTGCAGACAGCCTTTGTTTTTTTTGCATCGCTCGCATCATCTGCTCGCTGTTGGGGAACCAGGTCGAGCGATATGCAGGGCGTGGACAGCGAGTGCCCCGCATCCTGAAGCGTGGCCAACACCTGCGATATGGTGGCATCTCCAGCCAACAAAATATCCGAATACTCTGGTATGACCAACTGGTTGCCATTAGCGGCATTCGCTGATTGCAACAAGAATTCCTCAACGTTGAAAATATCTAAAAATATAGTATGTATAAGTAAAAAGAAATTTAATTTGTTGAATATCAATTTCTCACTGGATGGCATATTCATGGTGCTGGTCTGAGTCTCCTTGTCCTTGTTCATCGCTGCCTGGTTTTTGGCATCTTTTATGCGCTTGTCCTTGGCTGCTACAGCGGCTCCGACGGTAAGAAATTCCATGCTGCCCGCCTCCACGTTGTTGAAGTTCAGGAAGCTATTCTTATCCAGTTTGCTATCACTAGACTTGGCTGTTGCACTGGAGACGCCACTGCCAGAGGCCGAAGCCTCAAAGGCTCGTTGATCTGTTGGTTGTTGATAAACTAGGTTACTATACACTAAGGGGTCAAAAACAAACAAAATAAAAGATACAAAATAAATTATTTAGACGAGCCAAAGCATAAAAATATGTAAATATAAAAAATAACAAATCGAAATTAATGAATAGATGTCGCAATAAACTTACCACTAACGCAATTCTGCATAATCTCCTGGCACGTAGTGCTAGTGGTCACTGTGAACAACATGTGGTGGGCACTGCTACGCTTGGCCGGATGGTTGTTGACGGCTGCCACCGGTAAACTAGTGCTGGCACCACTTGAATTACCGCCCAAGATCGCAGAAAGAGTGTCTCTTCGCTGTAAAGGCTGCTGACTTTTCACAGAGACGGTGATGTGTTCGTTCTCCAGAAGGAGCTGCAGCACCAGCTGTCTGGTAAATCCAGAGATAGTGGGCCGAACTCCATGCGAAGATCTCAATGGCTTGCAAATTATGGCTCCGATGAGCAGCGATGTGAGCACTTCCTGGTTGCCAGGATGGCACGCGCTTACACGCGTGAAGAAGTTTATGGTGGCCCTTTCCAAGCGGATGAATGATTGCTGCATGGGCAGTGTCTTGCTAAATTGGGCGGCATGAGTGTTGCAGAGCAGCTGCAGTAATGGCTTCCAGAAAACAGATCCCTGCATGGTACCTAGCCAATCTCGCATAGGACCTTCGGCACAGCACTCAGCAAAGAAATCGAGAACTTTTGGCACATTCGAGCTACTAAGCAGTGGAGTGTTATTGCCTGCATTTGCTTCGGCTTTGTCAAAGTCCGTTAACGAGGAGTCTTCATCATTGGCTGGGGCAGCTGCCTGGTTGTTAGCTGAAGCTTCCTCTCCTCCCGTAGGGACTTTGGCTGAAAAAGCTATTGACTCTGATCCAGGCAAAAGGTGCATGCAATACTCATAAATGGCGTGGGCCAAAAGCTTAGGCAGTCCGGAGTCTAGCATCTGATAAACTGCCGCCGGAGACTGGCACGCCAGGGCCAGAGTCTTCAGGAATGTGGGACGCTGCAGTAAAATTGTTAGATTCTCGCTGCCCTCACGCCGGAACCAGGCACTGCCGCTTTGGACCTTGCTGTCGTCAGTCTGGCCTCGTGCTGGGGGCTCTAATTTTACACCCAACTTGACTAACAGCTGATTGAACAACTCAGGCTTAATGTAGCACAAAGCACACAGTAATGAGTCAAAACTACTCTTTAGGGGCTCATCGTGTTCTAGCGACGATACCCATTCGAAACAGGTCTCAAACAACGACGATGAGATGAGAAGTGGTAGCTCAGGTAGTTGCTGCTGTGTCTGCACTTTCCACAGAATGGAAGCAATCACCTTAATAAATCCGCTTTGTGGATTATTACACCGCGCCTGCTTACTATAGTTATCGTGCAGTTGCATCACCCAGTCGATCAGTACACGCAATTTGTCTAGTATATGCTCTGTGGAGCCGGTAACCACTTCGTGGATGAGATCGCACACCGCATCGCTGGAGAGTTTGAAAACTGTAAAGGAATTAAATTTAGAATCAGAGTTGACTTCAACACACCAAATGCTTAATAGCTCACCTTGCGGAGTGGTGTGCCACAGGAGGGTCCGCAGCAACTGCAAACTGATCTCGTGATTATAAGCACTTAATTTCAACAAAATGGTCTCTAGGTGTTGCTGAGCAAGGCTGGGAATCATTGGCATTATATTTAGCAGCGAGCAGCAGGCCTCTAGGAAGCCAGGATATGCAGCTGGGTATGCAGCGATCAGATCCGCCAGCTTACTATCTGGTTGCAAGGCGGCCACGTGGAAGCAACGAGACAGAATCCGCACCCAGCCAATGCTCGTTTTGGCAAAGGCATCGTCCTCAAGCATCGCATCCGCGTCCATTGCGGCTAAAGCTGCCGTCTGCAACGGCGAGGAGCACGATGCTAGGGAGTCGATAAATGGACTGGGGGTACGAAGACCCTGCATGCGATTCCCAAAGATCGTCTGGCCGAGCACAGCGATCTGTACAAGGCCCACATTTCCACAATCCTTGGGTCTGCAAGTATGTTAAATATTTAACCTTTGAATTAAATTAGCCATTTTTTTAACTTACTTGTACAGCCTCAAAACAATGCTGGTAGCCACCTCCGCTTTGGCCAACTTTAACCTGATGCAGGTCAGACCAGTGGTGGCCATGGGTGCACCAACTGGAATAGAGCCCAGGCCATAATCTCTTGACAACTCCAGCGCCACAGCCGAAGGGCAGGACGCTAGACTTGTTGTATGCGGCACCAGCTGCACCTCTTTCAACAGAATCGCTGTGGGCAGCGTGATAGTCAAATCAACGTGCGTCTCATTTGGATAAAACATGTAGCTCCAGGCAGGCGATCGTGGCCTTCGATGTGAGTTATTGGGGTTGGATATTAAAACCTCTGCACTTTGAGCCGCATCGTTTTCAGAGACAATGTGCGAGAAGGGGGCAAAATTGATTAGTCCATCGTACTGAGCACCACTTCTCGGCGGCTGTGCTGTCGCTGCACATGTTGTCCCGGTACCAGTCGTTGTCTTTTTGCACGCATTATTTGCCGCTACATGACTATTCCGCTTAAAGCGTGTATTGCGCGTCAAATGCTGCATGATTAAAGAGATCTGCCGAAGTTTAAGATAATATTCATCTTCTGAGACGAAAATTCTTTTAAATAACTTCTTACCAGTCCCGGCTGCATGTTTATAATCGTCTTATTGAGTCGCACCAAATTGTGACAGATTATCTGAATTCCACCCAGCTGAGTAAACGTTTGAACAGCCGCGGTGACCTCTAGGACTTTTGAGATGTACCAGAGGAAGGGTTCCGAAAGCGGCAGACGTGGCAGCGTCGCATTCCTTTGAATGGTGGCTGTCGGTAGAGAAGATTGTCAGACACGACTATATCATATACCACATCTAATGTAAACTTACTTTCTTCCAGATATTGGCAAATGGGAGCCACAACAAGGCGAGGATTGGAAGCCTTATCGCTGAGCGTTATCATTAAGCTAAAGACGGCATCTGCGATTGTCTGCGGATCATCCAAAACCATGTTGGACTTCAGTGAGAAAAAACATCCAGTTGACATCATTGTGAAAGTGTTTGTAGAACACTGTGACAGCGTTCCAAAGAGGCGCTTCATAGTAGGAAAATGACGCAGCACTAGAGGCGATAATAATTAATTTTAAATATGCGTTATTAGTTTGGAAAATATGATTTGTAACCAACCCCAATCTGCTATGCATGGTACTTTGCTGCGATGTCCTTCCGTATTCAATTGCTCCGCTTTTATCTCATCTGTTTGACTTTGATTGGACAGTTCTTCCTCTTCGGGAATGGTAACCTCCTACATAACAAATAATAATATTAAATACAATTTATGGAACGCATTTTAAGATCTTACACTTGGCTGTCTGGGCATCTCCGTTAGAACCATGTGTGAGGAAAGTTTCAGCAGATTTATGATAAGCGAATTGTCACAGATTGTGACATTCTGCTTGGTGGGATTCTCCGATCCCAAAACATTGGCAAACAAGTTGCTAAAGTTGTTTCCAGCAGTGTTGTTTTCATTTCCACGCTGGCACTGCAGTTTCTCGCCATTGGAAATGTTATTGTACACCAGGAAAGCTTAATTTATTTAATTAATATAAATTATTAAAATATTTTAAGGGAGATGAATTTTCATAACTTACAAACACTTTCGGTGATCTTGAGCGCTATGTTGAGATCTCCCTTGTCGTTAGGCATCATTAACAGATCACGAACTAATTGGTTCTGAGCATCGATAGGTCCCTGCTGGTTGCTAATAGCGCCACCAGGTTGTACCAACTGGAGGACGACGTGCAACAAAATGTCCTTTAGCCGGCGCTTGCAAGGAATGCCACTCGTCTCACTTTTGCTGTGCAACCACAGCAGCAGTTCATGGAGGTGCTTGCAAATTGTTGGTCCAGCCTACGGGAAAATTAATTCAATTTGTTAGTTATCTTAACCAAAAAAGACAGATAAATAACTTACACATCGGTTGGTAATGATAGATGAACTCATTCCATAACCAGAGAAGAACCGCAGCAGCATCTTTTCAAAGTTCTCATCATTCACAATAACCTCATTGATACGAGTACAATCCGCATCCTCGCCAATAGGCAGTGAGTTGCACGCAAGGAACAGGCACTGAAATCCCAAGCACCAGGTGCGCAATTTGATATCGTTGTGCCAAGCTAACGCCAGTAGCAGTCCCTGAACAGCGTTCGCCCCAAACGGAATTTTCGGTACATCCGTGTTGGTTATACCACTGGTATATGGCTTGTCCGAAAGCTCACAGTTCAGCGTTAGCCACATCTGCAACACCTGCTCCAGATGCACCCACGTGTCCTCGTAGTGTAAGTCCGCAAGGATTGAGTCAAAGACTTTTTTGAACATCACGTAGGTGTTTCGACCATCGTATTCCGTACCCGACCAAAGTTGCGTTAAGTACTCTGGCCAAGGAGCAGCCTCAGGTGGCGGAGAGACGAACTCATTGGTCAACACCTGAGGTAACGAGGTGTAGAGATCCAGGGAGGTGCGATTCGTAAGCCTTCTAAGCTGAGTTTCTACATGCAATTCCAACCCCACATCCAATCGAGAATCTAATGCAATGGATATAGACTTGCAGAAGAAGTTGAAGGTGTTCTTGCAAAGGGCATTGCTCTCCTTCTTGGTCACTGGCTTCGTTCGCTCGATCATGTCGATGTCATTAAGCATTTCGTCGAATTCAGTGTCATCGCACTCAATCAATGATGGTAAATAATTATATTTGACGGCTGTAAAAGGAAATAGAGTTGAATAAGTCTCAGAACTTGTACGGATTATATTTTGTTATACAATTGCAGGATATTTGGGTAACAACATTATACTTAAGTGGGATCAAACCAAAAGCTTGACTATGGGGAAAATAACCGTGCACCAGGAACCATAAATGTTTTTTATAAAATTTGTGATAACTTCATCTGATTTATAACATTTAGAGTCCCTTTATACACAATATGCAGTAGCAAGGCCATCTATCAAACAACCTTGCATAGATACCATGCGGTTCTACAGTTAAGAAAATTACTATGTTTACCCTCTTGATAAAATTCTCTTGCTGTCGGCATCAGCATCTCAAATTGTACCTCAGTGCACGAGGAAGCAGTGGCTAAAAGAATGGAAAATTCATTGGAATTGTTTTACAACTTCTTCATCAGAGGACACTATTCCCGAGCAAGTGATTTCGCATCTGCGGACTAGCCGAAGACAAGAACCTTGCGTAAGGTTTTTTTAGAGAAATTTTGTAATGCACATCTCTTTGCACTTATCGAATTCAAAAATGTAATTAAATGCTTTTAATAACTTACATAAATATAATTATTTCGCTTAATATATTCATTGTAGTAACGATACTCACAGCTATAGTCGCTGAATAGATCTCTTGTTTCCTGCACTGCTGCTTCCATGGTACGTGGTGTATCGTTAGTGGGCGTCACATCATTGTCCCTGAACTGTTTGTCCGCATCCAAAAGATCCTGCAAGACAAAAACAATAGTAATAATTATTTATTAATTGATAGAGTACAATTTGTTTTTACCTGAAGCAAACAAGTAATGGCGTGGACAGCCCAGGGCTGTTGTTGATCATTCCACACGGCTAGACGCACAAGTTGTTCCAGCTGGGCAGTGGTCACAATCTTGCATAGCTGAACAGACGGTCTACATGCGGCCACCAGACGGGCGATTACCTTGCAGGTTAGCAAAAACTGGTCCATGTTGCAATCGAAGTCCATTTCCAACAACAAAGCAAAGAGTCCGCGAATAACAACCTTGATATTAGCCATTCGAAGTGTCTTTAGTCCCTTGTCAAAGTTGCTGTCGCGCTCGCCATCATTTCCTGTGGTATCCTGGTGCTTCGGAGACGAAGTGGACGCTGCGGTACTCTTAGTTGCATTGCTACTGGAACCACTACCACCCACACAGAGGCCAGACGGTCCAATATTGATCTTGTTAACATTAGTGGACGACTTAGTAGGTCCAGTACCCTTTGATTTCGTTGAGAGCTCCATGAAAATGCCAGGATGCTATGTGACACATTACATTTTTATTTAGTTTTTGATCAACAGTTAAAATAAATAAGAAAACTGACCTCATTCTGTATCATATATATTTTCTTTCCCCAGTCCGTATAAGGCTGCACGGAGTACTTGTTTTGCTGTAGGATGCGTTTTTTAAAGCAACGCAGCTGTTTGCTGTTGGGAGTGTTACTGGGTCTTGTCTTGGTGAAGTCGCTCTCGCAGCTCATAAAGTCCCAGCGAGCAGCTGCTGCAAATTGGATTTTATTAGCATAATAGTAGTAGTTAAGACGCCTCTAAGAAATAATATATAATAAAGGCTAAAATTAAACTGAGTTACGAATCACTTACATTTATCCTTGCGCTCGTTATCGTCCAGACAAACTGACAAAAAGAGTAGCAACCAGGTAATCAGCTGAAGATCCGATGTGGTCCCCATTGCTCCATTGCGATCAGCAGCGTTAGCCGACGTACTGGGCTGCTCCGACTGGTATTTGTAGTGCGGTGAGATAGGTGCCAGCAGTTTGACAAGCGTCCTAAGCACGGCATCGATCACAATAGATCGGCACGCACCCATAGCAATGCTGCGACGTCCCAGATAGGTAAGCAAAAAGAAAATGCTGAAAGAATTTATATAAATAATTAAAAATAAGTTTTTTAAATTCCTAACCACAATTTTTAGTACTAACCGATCTTGGGGAAAAGCCTTGCAATTTTGAGCTGAGAAAAGACTGCAAAAGGTATCGGCGAGAAAGTCTCCCCACCACGGCTGGAAACAGCACATCCGCACGAGCAACGAACAGGTAGCCAACTGCAACTGGGCATCACCGTAAACCACCAGCGAGTTAAACAAAGCCTTCGCCGTGGCCGCATTAAATTTCTGATGGACGGGCAGGATGTTCTTAATTCCATATTCGATAGAGAAGTGCAGTAGCACTTCCACCAAACTCAGACTGAGCACACGCAACTTGTCCCTCGAAGCATTGCGCAGCATTTCCTCCGTTAATGGAATCGGCTCTTCCGGAAGAGGTGTATTACTTATCGCGTTAGGAGTAATAGCTCGTTCTAGGCGTAGAACCACGTTTCGGATCACATTGATCTGGTACTGCAAAAGCATGCATTCATCGTACAGGGAAACCACTTTATTATTGTTATCTAGGCCACTTAGCTCCTCGTCGCGCTGCTTGTTGATAAAGGCTTGAAGGTGGGCCACATTAGACAGCTCACTATTCCGCATGGGAGCAAGGATATCCATCAGTTTACAGCTAGCCAAGCTGTAACGGCAGTGTACATCCTCGTACAGCGCATTTAGTGACTTTAATTGCGATTGAAGGTTCTGCGTGGGATACTTTATGAACCTCATAAGCTGATCCCCATAACCATCGTGCTCTAGGACTACGGGATGACCAAAGAACCGCCCTAAGGGTACCTTGCATTTGGTGGTTGACATGCCAATACGGCCAATGATGGTTAATTTTAAATACCGGCAAATTGGTGCCGGCTGAATATCGCTGAGCACAAGCGTTTTGGTCTGGATGTCATTTACTTGCACCAACCGTGTACAATCGGTCTCCTCGTCAAAACACCAGATGTCGATACTTAAGGAAGTTAGTTCATCGCACGATGGAATCACCAGATCTGTGAGCAGAATGTGCTGGCCAAAGTCCAGCACAACAAATCGTCTAGCACCTGAGTGCATCCGATCGATGACAATCATCTGCTTAGGCGGAGGAGTAATTAACTTGTGCCAGGCTATCGGCTGACAAGGATTGCTGTTTAGGTTCTCCATGATCTTCTCGCTTTCCGCGGTATCGTCCAGTATATTACAACCTGTTGATGCCGTCTGTTGCACTGAACCGGTCTCAATAGAAGAACCTTCAGTAGATGATTCTAGCCCTTCAACGGAAGCCAAATTTGCCGTTGGAAATGGTGGCGTTATGTCACCGTCCGTATTTATCAATTTACCAAAGTCATCGAAAGAAATATGCTCGTTTATCTTTTTTTGCATATAGCTTTCAAGTAGGGACAATTTGGGCAGAAACTTGGTTATTTTTATTTTGTCCATCATAGCAGCTTTTTCTATTTTAACCTCTTCTTTCAAGGCATTTTCGAGTGAGACCTTAAGAGATGCTAGAAATATAGTTGAATATTTAAATCGTGCACATTTCGCCAACGAAAAATCTTTAAATTTTAACTTAAATGTAATCTAGCATAAATAAACTTACTTGTTTTATCCTTGAAGCCATTAACCAAGCCAAACGCATCATAATCGACCTTGCCTTGCTTTCCCTTCATTTCCTCTACCAGATACTCCACATCATTGACCAGATCGTTAAGCTAGTAAAAATTACCACATTACATTTCATACATCATTTGTTGTTTATTTTTCGTACCATTTCCTCGCCTTTCTCCTTGGCCACTACTAGTTTTGGCATCATCATCACGTCATCAATTACCACAGTGGCAGCTGAATTTCCACCAACGCTATCGATGTTGTCGATGCGAGTGGCCTCAGAGGCTTGCACGCAATTAAAGTGAAGCTGCACAACCTCTAACAATCCACGCAGTTGGTTGCTAATGCTCTTTCCTCTGATCAGATATGGAAACGTGCGGAAATCTACTCCATCTGCAATACACAAACATGAATATTATCTTTAATATATAGATAAGTATTTCAGATGCAACCTATGGAGCTTAATCGTTTGATATCCAGCCCAGTCACCGGCAGAATTGTTGAACTGTTGCGTATCACATTAGTGAGAGCCACCGAAGGGCCGGGTCCCTGCCTGCTGACATTAGGAAAGTCGAAATCAAAGATCTCTGGCTCAAAGGGATAGCCGTAGAGACCAAATCGAGTGCTAAGCAGCGCACAGTGTGGATCCCAACGCTTATCAATTTCGCTAGTAATATCTTTCAACAGATTTATCGCCTGTTCGGAGATGCTGTTGTGGGACTCGGCTGTAGATGTGGCGCAGGTGAGCATCATGTACCAACGCACAACGCTCCCGCACTGCGCGCGAGGTAGCTCCGGAAATGTGTTGGCAATCGCAGCCTTAAAACTATAGTCTAGCGTTGTGTGGTCCTGGACCTCTGCCGGCAGATTGGTTGCACCTCTGCGAAATAATGAACTATTAGTTGCACGACTTGAAATTCATAAGATATGCCTTCACTTACTCTGTCAACATAATTAGCAGCTTCACACATTTGTGGGCTGTACTCCGTTCGCTGTAGATAACGCAATTTCGCAACAACTGTTCGATATGCTTCTCAGCTAGGGAAATGCACTCGAATTGCTGCGCCAGGAGATCCTGAATATTTGCTGCCGTTTGTTTGTTAATCTGATCCTTGAGCCTTTCCGACTTGGGTGAACGGAAACGGTTTAGCCTGATGAAGCATATCCAGTTTAGCACGTCGAGCGACAGATTCTTGGCCAACGGGCTGGCAGCTGGATCACTGGCGATGCGCAGCAGCTGCACCAGCAACACATTGCTCTCCAGCATAGCAATGCGCTGCATCCGGCCATTACTGATCCGACTGTGAGACTTGACCGCGCGCACGCTAATGGAGATTTCATGCAACCAGTCGCAGCCTGCAAGAAAAATAGAAAAGACCAAAATTATTGGAATTCTTAACTACCAAATGAAGTTGCGCTGCTCCCGGAAGTACCTCCCCTACTCGGCATTTGCTCGGGCCTGCGTCCAATAGATGGAGCAGTTTCTGCTGGCTGGGTTGCGGACTTGTTTTTTGAAATGTGCGACTTAGATGGGTTCACTTGAACGATATTAAAGTAGGCAGTTTTCGCCGCAGGGTATACTTTTCGGACTGCTGTCTTGACCACCCGAATTATATTGGCCATATTAAAGGGGCTTTTAGAGAGCTTGTTTCGGTCCACCCATTCCTCAACTTGATGCGAGCGCTTGTGCCGCGTTGGGGATGCTGCAAAAGGTGGCGAAATAGGCGGTAATCAAACAGTCAAGACTAAGCTCAAATACCATAAATTGGCACTAGAAACAAACTTTCATCTTTTGTTACTGCTCTTCGGCTGAATATTTGTTTAAAATCCACCAATACATAAAATACAATACCTATGTAACAATGTTTAACTTTATCGAAAGTGGAAAGTAAAGTGCGCTACCGCTTGGCGGTCAGGGTTCCCATTTCCCAGACTACCTACCTCTAGTCTTGTTTTGTCCATCCTTTGATGGATCTGAAACGGTTTTGATGTGCAACAGGAAGTTCCTGCTGCGCGTCTTGAACAATTTCGGGGAGGTGAGCGTGGCTGTGCCTCCCTGATCACAAAGATCGATGCATGAGGATAGTTCGATAGGACCAGCCAAAACCTCCGCATTATGGGCTAATAAATACTCTTCACTAAGCACGGGATTTTCATTGGCAACTGAAAATTAGATCGAAACTTTAATAAGAAACCAGTCACATTATTTGTATAACAACTTACTATAAGAGAGATCAATGTTGTCATCGATGACATTGGGCTTGTAACTGGAATGAGGTCCCTTCATTCGGTAGCCAAATCCATTTGTGTTCTGTTTCAGCAGCGTGACTTGAATCGCTGCAGGATTTGAGCATTGCTGATAGACCGTGAACTTAAGATCGATGTGACCTAGAGAAACGGGTTGAGCCAAGTTGAGCTCTATAATGTGTTCGTCCCAGGTAGTTCTGAAAATAATAATTATGTTTATTATTAGTATACTACATTTATCCTTATTACATATATTGAATACTCACGCATCGTTGTGGAGTCGCCACGTACGGGAGAAATCCCTTTCGTCGCCCCCGTGCCGCATGTTCTGAGACTGTTTACGTTGCTTTTGCACCTGTCCGAGATCGTTCCAACAACTGGGCACTTCAGCTGAGTAGACGGTCAGCTTGTCATCAAACTGAGTGAGGGCATAAAATACCCTAAGGTCTTCGAGGGTAAGGTCGGCTGTTTTGTAAGCAAGCAGGTTGGCGTTGCTTACAGCTGCGGTGGCCGCCGATGGCGATGTCTGTACATGGACACCCTGTGCAGCGCTATGGGTGTTTAAGACTGCTGCTGCCTCACTGCCAACATCCACGCAAATGGAGTCACTGGCGACCAGGGTCTTGCCCAGCACGTCAGCACCTCCTACGTGACGCGCACCGTCCGTAACACTAACATCTGCAGCCTGTGTTAAGGTCGTGCTGCAGTCATCTTCCATCTCTAATAGTTCATCACCGGAGTCGTTCTCCCCCTCGCTCAGCGAGTAGAAGAGCAGACCACCCTGGCGTGAGCAACAACATAGTCTATCCAGGTTTCGGCAATAAACCACAGACTCAAAGTGTTCGCCCTCCTCCTCAATCACCATGGTGCCCTGAAAGTCGGCTAGAGAGTAAATCTCTACGCTACCATCTGCACACACCACGCATATGGAACCGGCATCCTTATGCTCTGGAGAGGAGTTGAAATGAGGAAGAATACACAGTTGTTTAGGACATTTGGCCCGACTAAAGGTCATGGCCAGGGTGTAATCGTTGGATATATGAGTATCATCGTAGTCGAATACCAAGAGCTGAGCCGCCACATTTCCCTCGGCGTTGTTATCTAAAAAAGTTTGAATTTAAATATTTAAAACAAGGAATGATATCAAACTATTCCTACCTGTATCCATTGATTCGTCCACCCGCTGCTCCTCGTCCTCCTCCTCTTCTTCCTTAGCCACTGTGGCCATGATTATCTTACTGCCCTCTGTCTCCGGTGCCTTGGTACGCAGCAATTTGACCAGTAGCTGATTGCATTTGGGAGTAGTAGGCAGGATTTCGGCAATCTCGATGATTTCTTGAGCCGAATGGGCGATTCCATTCTCCCCATTATTGGCTCCATCCAAGGCATTCATGCGCTTCACACTTGTCCAACTCTCGACCACACAGTCTATCTCCTCGGTGGCCGTCATCTTGTCACTGTTGCTGTTAGTGCTTCCGTTGATCATGATGTTATTGTTGTTATTAGAGGAATTTCCACCCAAAGAGTTGCCCTCGTTGTTATTATTATTATTATTGTTGTTCTGGTGGGTCATCTCGGCATCCTCGACAAGTTTATCGATCTCATTGCCCATCCCAAGATTACTAACATTAACCGTATTGGATCCGACCATCAAGCTCAGCGGCTCCTCCAGATTGTGATCCATGATCTGAGACAAGGTGCACAAATCAAAATCATAGAGAACGGAGGCATCGTCGGTGTTCTGGCTAACTCCATTGTTCTTGTTGTATGTCATCAGAGCGGACACAAATCCGTTGCTATCGAAGCCATCGGCGAACTTTTCATACGGAGTCATAGCCTTGTTATCATCATCTTTTGACTCGAGATTCACTTGTGTCACGGCGGGATTATTATCGCTGGTCACTATGGTACAATAAGAATTTTTTTTATATAAATCAGTTATAGCGTTGAGATAGTAAAATTGTCTAATATTTAAAGCATATTCTTTTGCTTACCGTTAACCATTGGAGATGAGGACTTCATTAACTGACCGCCGACGCTAGAAACGCTGCCGGTGTCATTGCTGACGCTCGCTGAGGTTTCAGTGCTTCGTTCTACTTCCAAAATGTTGAGCACAACCATGCGCAGGGCTAGCTCACCGCTGCTTTGGCGCACGCTGACTCCTAGAACAATCTTAGATCCAACTACTCCAGCCCGAAGCGTGGAAGTGGAAGTGATATGCTGTGCATTTACACTACCGAACTTTCCACTAGATACGGCATTTGATCCCGAATGGGATCCCGCACCACTACTGCTTCCTGTTCCACCATAATTTGCCGCCGAATACACATAGTTTACCTTGGTGCGGGCTCGAGCATTCGGAAGAACACATATGGCGGTAACCCGCGCCCACTCGAAGCTTTCTTCAAAAACGTCCTTGAGCAGGGTCGGAACATGGAAGCTGTACATCAGCTTCAGGTGACGTTCAATGCTCCAAACGCTCAGCTCTCCCGTTTGCGAGCAACTCGTGCATAGCACATTTGCGTAATCACTATTGGATATAATGTCGAATCCTAATCCCGGTGCTGGTAGCGCAGGGTTGGTGGCATAGGTTATGGACAGCGGAACATTCTGTGTGTACTCGCCCTTGACAAAGGGGCAGAGCGGGGAGTGCCTCTCGTGTTCGCTCCACGGCTCATCTGTCTTCTCCCAACAGACAAGACACACGTTGCAGGTGAAACACATTGCGCGATCCTCGCCAGATGATGATGGCTGATGATAGAACCCGGCCTGGGCCATCTGATCGGGCAGTGCCCATTTGTAGTCCATATGAGGCCACTTCTCGAACGTCTGGCGGCGCACTGCTTCCGAGTGCATCAGTACGCGCTGGAAGTTGCTAAAGTTCCAGCCAAAGTCCGGCACCCGGGAGCCTATAAGCATGTCAGTAAGACGTTCATTAATGGCGGAAGCGATAGCCAGCACAGGAATGTGGCGCTCCAGGCGCTTTAGTAGAATGACCACATTATTGGACACCAGCTTTAGACTGGAATAGGGCACCTCGAGACATATTGTATTCCACTGAAACAAAAAATATGGTTGGTTTAAATGGGGTACATTTTTAAAGTAAAAGTAAACTCCTACCCGCTGGGCCTTGATACCCTTCTTAGCATTAAGTTGCGCCTGGTTTATCTTCTGCGTTAACTCGTTGCTTATGTCACACGGACACTCCAGACCCTCGCTTTCCAGTTCGGTGATGCAGTTCTGGAAAATGATCGCCTCGGAGAGGATGATCTCTAGTTTGATGTAGTCGTCGTTTTGGCCAATTGGCGCCTGAAGAATGGTATCCAGAAGCAAGACACCGTTGTAATCGCCTCGCAGTCCCAGATTATGTCCATCCCAAAATAAGATCTTATCTTGCAGGGGCATATAACGACCCTGAACGATGCTATCGCCTAAGGGGAAAACCCGACAGAAGAAAAAATTAGAAAGGGCCTGTGACTCATTTTTCCTGATTTCATAAACAATTACTCTTGTAGCGGCGATTATTTTCTGGGTTTTTAAGATTTCGATAAGGGGTGATAAGGTTGATTAAAAAACTTTTTAGAAACAGTGAATGGAACCTAAAGTGATGATAATATGAAAGACATTTGCTTTATGTTGTATCTATTTAAAACCAATAGATAACTTGACCAAAACCGTGAAATTGAAGACCGGAACATTGCCGAAAATCGTTTCCGTAGAACAAGTTCCTGGGCAGCGGGGGCGGTGGGTGGTCATCAAACGGAGCAACTGCGTAATAGAAGCAAAACAAAAACAAAATGCGTGCTGCTGGCCGCTAATCGAAAACAATAACAAACGCATTGCGATAGGACGGACGGCCTATAAGTTTCCGATTCCCGGGTGAAATCACTTGAATTGAATTGGATTATCACTCTCCGTTTAAGGATTTCCAAGAGCTTTGTTAAAAATTGATGCCAAACGCATACACAAAAAACAGCCAGCACTCACAACGAAACATACAAACGAGTGGACAAGTGCAAGGCAATTACGTACAGAAATGCAATACAGTGAGTAGTGGTTATGACAAAATGTAGTTAGGTTGTTCAATCGGTCTACACAGAGAAATGGCTTCATAATAATTGTTTTAAGATTATGTAGACTTCGATTAGTTAAAAATATTTTAAAGGTTTGCCAAAGCAATTAATTTGGGTTTTAAATCATTTTATGTTAAACTGATTATGATCAATATTATTTTAATAAATTTAGGATATATCAAATTGTTGTTTTATAATGTCAAATAGTGTTTCGTATTTATAAATTAATTCAATGATTATATGATTCAGCCTATGCTGATCTTCAATAAACATTAAAGAGTATTGATATATTGGGGGTTTTCTCTGTGTGGGTTCTAATTCGCAGTTCTCTACTGTATTGACATTTGCCTGTGACAGTGTGTGAGTGAGAGGCCCCATCCGTGCGTACATATGTGTGATTATTTTTCCGTAAGAAAGCTTACCATTAGAACTGAGCTGGTACGTCTGCAGGATCACTCCGGAATTGGCGTCCAGGACCTTCACCGTGCTGCTATCAAATAGCAGGAGGACATTTAATTGCGAGTGATAGACGACGTTGCGCATCTCGAAGGGTCTAGCAGGAGCGCTATTACAATCGCCCAAATCCAAGTAGCCATCTTGCTTGAGGACGCGCTGCTGGTGATGCTGCTGCTCCGTGGCCATTCCGGAGGTGCGCCACTGCAGTTACGGTGCTCCTTTTTCCGAATGGGGTAGTCTATAAGGGTTTTTCGCAATTCAATTCAGAAAATAATTGGCTGCGGAACAGCGCTCTGCTTCTTCTTCAACTTCGTTTTGCCCCTTCTTCTTCTACCTTCTGACAGATGTGTTTGCCATTCGATTGCCACCACTCGCCTGTGAATCGGAAATATATCGAGTGCCCAGTGGGCGCACGAGTGTGGGGAGCGGTGGCGGTGATAAGGCCACTTCAATCAGCAAGATAAATACATTTGAAATAAATATATTAGATTACAAAGGATCTAGTTGGAAATAACAAATTTGGCCTACTTGTTTTGAATAATCGATAAATCATTTCTATCGATAATACTCTGAACCATTGGTATTAAGAGATGTAAATAGTTATAGACGAAGAATGAATATTTTACCCAAAAAACGGTGAGTTTTTCTATTTGAATCAGATCAGATTCGTAAAAATTTGGCGTATTTATTAGCTGGCATGTGCGCACCAAGGAGAACATCGCCCGCGTCCGCCGGGATCAAGCGGCGGCGGCAGCAGAAGAGAAAATCCGCAAAGATAAATTGGAATTTGCGGTGGGTACCGCTAAATAATTTATTTTTTCTTAAATAACGGTTACCATTTGTAAGTAGGAAAGCGAGGCACGAATTAACTTCCTGCGTCGCCAATCGGGGCTGCCGGAAAAGGTTTCCGTTCCCAAGGAAACCCAAGAATTGGAATGCAGCACTGAACCAAGCAAAGGAGTGGACCTCTTTGCAGACTACAGAAGCCATGTAAAAACCACCAACAAAGATCTAGAAAAGGAGCAGAAGGAGGAGCAGGAAAAGTACGAGAAACAGATTGGCTACCTAACCTACTTGGGTCAGGACACCAATGAAGCTCTCAAGGTGCGCAGCTGGTACGAGGTGGCCCCCAAAAGACCAGAAGTAGGGGATCAAGAAGCTCATCTCAAACAAAAACTAGCCCACGATCCTTTGGCCCTCATCAATGCTTTGTTGCCGCCAGAGAAAAAGGATAATAAAAAGACCATCAAGAAAAAACGAGAAGGGACACCCACTCCTCCTCCGGAACCTGCCACTTCCCACAAGCCGAAAAAACACAAGAAGGACAAGAAGCATAGCAAGCACAAGAACCATAAGGATCACAAAAGTAAGAAGGATTATAAAGAAAGCCTTCTAACTGCTGACCGGCAAAAACGGGAGAAGCTGGAAAAAATGAGACGAGAACGACTGCGTCGGGAAACATCGGAGCGCCAGCGTTCCGACGCTCTTTTCGCGCCCAAGGAGCCGGCAATGACCGCCAGTGCAGCATCAACGCCAGCTCCCACGCCAAGAATTGTCCAGAAGTATAACAGCCAGTTCAATCCGGAGTTAGCGAAGCAAAATATGCTTTAGGATTTCGAACACCTAAAGAGATAGCATTATATAAATTTAAAAGAGTATTTGGTAGATTTGGAAATTAGAAGGGAGGTTTATCAGAATTAGTATGCATTGATAAGATTATCTGTAAATAAAAGTCAAATAATGCAAATCAAATGAAAGGTGCAACATTTTTTCAAATATACATCATATAAATCTTTGGTTTAAAAGCTTATTTTTAAAAACATAAATTAAGTTGCTACTAGTTTAAACTGTAATATTCTTAAACAGGAAAATAAAAATATCATTTAAGATACAATTTCCGTTAAAATATTTGAAGTTGATGATCATCTTAAATATTAATCAACAATCCAAATTCAATAAATGTAGATGGGTAAGCGATAAGCCCATTATATTATAATTATATGCTGATGATCTATTATATACGGTGTTAATTTAGACATCAACGCATATGGCTTTAAAATCAAATTAATCACTGTCATTACAAGACATTCGCAACCGGAAATATTTTAATGCTTGACTGGTGTCATGGTTTAAATTTATATGAAGCGATAAATCCGGTTTAAAGGTAACGGCCCCTTGATCGCTGCCGAAAAAGGCCAGTGCTGCACAGCGTCTAAAGATCGTTAATACTTCTCTCTTTTTACCTCGATAATAAATAAGATCCAATGTAATATGTATTAAAAAAGATTACATATTATCTAAAGTTAAGGTTATACTATTGCCTCATTAAAATCAAAACCAAAGCCATATACATTTGAATTGTAACGACCGGCACAAAAATGCGCAACACCCGGCTGTAGTGTTAGATAACGTCGTAATTACGGACCATGTGAAATTCATCTGAAGTCTTGGCGTCTCCGTTTTTCATTTCTTTGTTATAATTTGCCTGCGGGTACAAATTCTTTTGATTTATATTAATTGTTGTGTGCGAAAAACAATAGAGCCGGGCTAAATGGAGGAGAATACAGAGAATGCTGATGGAAAACGCGGTAAGTGAGTTTTAAAGCAGACATTGCTACAGAAAGCAACGGGACAAGTAAGCCTGTGCTCCAAAGTCAGCCATTTTCCGGGGCTCCTTTTCCCAAGTTGATAATTCCTCGTAGAGATTCAATAAGTTTACTAATTTTTTATTATGTCGGACGAACCAAATATAATAGTGACGCGGGCACGCGCTCGCCGAATGTCCCTTCTGGAAACGGACAGTCGTCCGGGTACTCCCCAGCTGGATACCGCGACAGAACGTGGTAAGTTTATCCTGATTCCTGGATTACCGTTTCTAAAATCGAGACTCTTACTTTCATAGGAACCGCCTCACCACGTCCCACACGCCGTACTCGCCTGAACTCGTCCACTATTGAGGTGAGGACTCCAACTAGAACTAGACGTGCCTCCCTAGCTCGCGGTGAGACGCCCGAGCCAACCACACCGTCTTCCATAAAAAGAACAGCTCGTACGCCGGCCAAAAACACCAGGGCTGTGCGCCAACAGCTCACGCTCACAGAAGAGGCAGAGGAGATTGAAGTCAAACCACCTAAACCTAGCCCCAATCCAAGTCCCGTCCTCAAGGTCAGGCAGGAGCGGAAGGCAAGTGCCAGCCCTAGTCCCGGGCCCAAGGAGAGCAGTCGCACAGCGACTCCAACAAGGCTTACCGATAGTCAGCGTGTTACCCGCTCCATGTCCCAAACGCCTCCAACAGTCACTCGTTCCTCTAGCAATACATCGCGTGATCTGAATTCATCCCTGGAAGATGAACCAAAACCAGTAAACGAGGACACTGATATGCCAAAACCCAATAAAAGCACACCTAAACTGACGGTTAAGCTGGAGAAACTGCCGGCAGACAAATCATCGACAGAGGCTGGCAAGCAATTGCTTCTACAAGAAAAAATCAAAGATGCTGGTCTCTCTGAGGCAACTAAAAAAACAGAAAATAGTCAAGAAACTGCCGAACCAGTCAAAGATCATGGTAAGCAATCATTCTTGAAGACATATAACACACTTGTACAGAAGGAGACTTCGAGTAAAGCTTCTAAAACTGAAAAAAGTGCAGACATCACGGCAAATAAGACCGAAACTTCCAAGAAAGTGGAAGAAAAGTTAGAGGTTCCGATAATAGAAAAGAAAAACGAAACTCCGCATAAGGCTCTATCTGTTGCTTCTCCTAAAATTGAAAAGAAAATGGAAACTCCGCAGAAATCAAAACCAGTTGAGACACCTGAGAACAAAAATAAACCCCAAACTGTTAACGTAGTCCCTGATGTTGAAAAGAAAGCCGCAACTCCACAAAAGATCCAAAAGGCAGACACCCCTAAAAGTGAAAAGAAAGCAGAATCTACACAGAAGGTTCAGAATGCGGAAACTCCTAAAGTTGAAAAGAAAATCGAAACTTCACAGAAGACCCAAAAGCCGGAAACACCAAAAATTGAAAAGGAAATCGAAACCCCGCAAAGGGTTCAAATTGACAAGAAAAAAGATACTCCACAGAGAGTTTCTATTGTTGAGTTGATGGACACAAGCGCAGAGATTGATGAATCCTTGGAGGAGCAAGAGTTTTTGGATGCAGAAGAATCGCATATCGAAGAAGTGCCACAGGTTGATGAAATACAAGACGGAGAAGCACAGAACGAAAAACTACGGATCGAAGAGCCACAAAATGAAGATCCATTGTTGGGAGAAGCACAACAAAATGTTAAATTAGAAAATTATCCGGAGGCTACAAAGGTTGAAGAAAACAAAAATACCAGTGAAGAAACTCCGCAGGATGAAGCCATGGAGGTAGATACGGAGAGCGATGTCCACGTAACCGATGTTGTTTGTCTACCAAACTTAACTCCCGGCATTAAATCTCGTGTTCTGGGGAGTTCCCCAGTGGAGAAAAAGAAATCAGTAGGTTTCAACGACGAACCTGATGACTTTGAGGCCGAAAAGACACGGTTCCCAAAGACACCTGGTCGTGAAAAGGCGCCAGTTTGCCGGCTTTCAACTCCCAAGCAGGAAACACCTTTAAAACTAGGTTTGCAAAAAGGGCGAAATAGTTCCACACCCATTATAAAGGACCAAGAGCGTGGGTCTTCTATCAGTAAGGCGGAATTGCAGCCAGCTCCTCCTCAAATTGATGTTATTAAGTCATTCGATGAGCTGGAATCAAAGAATGCTAAGGATGACTCGGCGGAAATGTCGCCCAAAAAGGCTGTGAACAAGATCCTTGCTCGCCTTGCAAGCTCCGACGAAGAAGAAGAAGTTCAAGGAGACGAAGAGGAGGAGGAGGAGGATGAACAACTTGAGTTTGTAAATCTTGAAGCTATGGATGCTGGGGAGAATTACCAATCTGGAGACTCGATGGACAGTTCGATGCGACGAGAAATTGAGGAGAACGAAATTCCTGTCGATGAAGAGTCTGTTGGAAGTAAAGATACTGAGGAATCAATCCCAGAAGAATCTGAAGGTGATGATTCCTTTATTGTGTCGGACAACGATGACGAGGAAGATTTGTCTCAACTTCGCTACTCCTCCGACGAGGACGAGGAAGAAGAAGATCTTCGTGTTATTTCAGTAAAGACAGAGAAGAACAGCGCAAAGCGCCGCCGCATTATGGTAGCAAGTTCAAGCGAGGAAGATGGTGGCAAGGAATCGGAGGATATCAAAACGGAGAAGCCCAAAAACCAGAGCAACTGCTCTTCGGATGCCAGCAAATTAAGCGAGGCTGCCCAACTGATGAATGCCAGCGAGGAGAAGACACCAATCTCAGAATCCGAACTAGAAAGATCCCGTCAAGTCGCTCTTAATGAATTGAATAAGTCAGAGAGATTCAACAAGACAGAAACGCGCCTTGATTTCAGCGTCATGGAAGTGGAGTCCTCGGAGCACGACGATGATGTGGATTCGCCGAAGTCTGGACCGAAGGGCAATAAAAGTGTATACGAGGTCATTGATTCCGATGAAGCAGGAGAACTTGAGGAAGCTGAAGAAAAAAAGGAATCTGACGCAGAGGAAAAAGTTGATAGCGAAGGTTCACCAGCTATTGAAAAATCTGCATCTTCGCAGGCTCAAACGTCTTCAAAATCGGCGGACGAAGAAGCCTTGCTTGCCGAATTGGCCTCTAGTGATCTTCGTCACTTGGAAACAATGTTCAATCCGCTTCAAAAATCCCGTCGTCAATCCTTATATGTAGCTAGTTCCGAGTTGGCGGTCAAGGAACCGAAAATGAGACGCCGTAGTGATCGTGCCATTGTCGACGGTGACCTCTGCCCTTCGCAATCTTTTGTTGAGATAATAGCCGAAAAGAAAAGAGAGAAGAACAAGCGCAAACGCCTGTCTAAGAGTTTATCGGGTGCACCCGAGGATCTTGAGGAAATAGAGATTCAACACGACCGTAAACGCCTCAAGGGCTCATATGATGATTCTACTGAGTCTTTGGAGGAGGACCAAGAGACAGCGGATGCGCCTGATGAAAAAGCAAGCGAGGAAGAAATCTCTAAAGCGGAAGTCTCTGATAAAGTTGATGAGAATTCCTTGCATTCGAAAACAGCTGTGGAGGAGTATCCCGAAAATGATGTTCCCATGGAGGAATTACCTTCTGAGGAGTTCAATACTGCTCAGGAACCGCTACCATCCGGGGAAAGTCCAAAAACCTTGGAAACTATTAAGCCCACAGAACAGGCACCGGCTAAAGAAGAAAAGTCTGCCGAGTACTACTTGGCTTACTGTTCCAACCTTTTAGAGGCAGCCAATGAGGCCAAGTTGAAAGAAAAGAAAGAGGTGAGTTTCTTACTGAATTTAAGTACACATTCTTGAGTTATATTTATACATTCCTGCAGCATCTTGCCACGGTAACAAAGCAGAAGAAACCAAAGCGTCTTGCTGCGCAAGCTGCTGCCAAACAAATGGTCACCACCAGCTCCGACGTAGATACAGCGGCTGCCAATCCTGTAAAGCAGCAACCTGCTCTCAAGAAGGATGTAAAGCGCTTACAGGCAGCTCGCCAAGCCGTGAGTCATGCTGTTAATTTGCTTGCTGCGCCAAAAGCTAGCGATGGAGAGGTAAAGCTTTAGGTCATTTAATTGCCTTAACAAACTTATCATATTACATTCTCCCTTCAAGCCACGCACGCTCTCGCGTAAGCTGTCGCCTCAGCCTCCAGTGGCAATGGCCAGTGAGAAGAAATCGGCCAAATCCAAGAAACAGGCAAAGAAACAAAAGCCACAGGAGACGTCACCACCAAAAAGTTCCGATGAGGAAAACCATGGCCATCGTGTGAACCGTATTCGCACGAATGCTGGCTACGTGACGGTAGTCGATAATTCTGCTCCAAAAGTACCTAAAATCGAGCTGATTAAGACCAGTTCGGGTCTGGTGCGCGTTGAGCCGCGTACTCCTAAGCAGAAATACTTCCGGGAACTGCCGAGCACACCGAAATTACATGGGTTCCGTGAAGAACAAGATTCAATTGGAATATCAAAGAAGCGATTGAAGCAGCAGCCAGTGAAGGTCGAACCCAATCATGCCAAACAGTCGGCGCTGCGCTTCAAGGAGCAGATCTTTGCTCGGAAATCTTAGGATTATATATATATATATATAGAGATATAAGTATTAACTGTTGGAAATGTCACGTGTACACAATGCATGCTTTAGTTTTTGTTTCTCTTTTTGATTGATTTTCCAAATTGAATTTAATTTTGATATTATTTGTTCTTTTAGTAATTGTTATGAAATTTAAAACATTGCCATTATTCAAGTTTCCATCACAAATTCCAATTGCCACATTCATATACCTAAGAATAAAATTTATGTTATCACAAGCTTAAAAAATAAAAATTAATAAAAAAAAAAAAATAACGAAGATGGAGCAGCTGTTTGCCACTTCCAGTAAGATTTTAAAAAGATGTTTTTAGCAACAAGATGGATTGATACTTTCAATTCTTTAAAAGAAACTTTTTAGGTTTTCCATTTTAATACATTTTTTTTAAAGCATGTAAGAGTTGAATAAATTAAACTGATGCGATACAAATGAAAATATGAGTTATCCTATGTTTGCGGGTATCTACACCTTCCGGCATAACCGATTTTTAAGTGAATAATAATATCTGTATCAGCAGAGCCTCTAAACAATAAAATACGTTAATCAAAATTTGGTTCTGATGATTACGATTAAATCTAAATATATATTGTCTTATATGATATTGGTTCTTCTTTTTCTGAAGACTAGGAAGGTGGAAACCCAGAAGAATTTCGACTTAAATATGGGCAAATCTGATAAATATATATTACTTTTCGAACCAAAAATTATGGTTATTTTATTTTATCCAAATGCTGACTTTAATGACTAAATAAATAAGAACCAAAGTAGTTATTTTATAAAAATTGTATTTAGTTGTTATGATTAACATAACAATACGTAAGAAGTTCTTTCAAAAGTAGGCTAGTTCTCCAAACTCGTTTAACTTTAAAGAACCTTCTCCCAGATTCCTCACTTTTAAAGTTAGTGAGCTATGAATTGTATCGTATGCTTTTCTGAATTATTTACTATTTAACTTAACTCAAAAATGGTGATAACACGCAGTTTAGCCAAATCGATGCAGATCGAAAAGGTAAGTCAGTTGCTTTAATTAAATAAAAGATTTTTAAATAAATCTTAATATTCCTCAATATAGCCAACAGATGCTGAAAAAACGGAGGCCACATCTGTTAAGAGCCGAGCAGCAACATTCAAGAAACCACCTGCCGCCAAGAAGCAGGTTAAGGAACTGCAGACTGTTGAGGAAATCCGAATCCCTCTTGCCGCACAAACATCTAACGGAAATAGAGTAAGAAATGGGAAAGTAATTATTCCTCCATTGCTACAATTTGCATCCTCTTTCTTAGCGTGCTACCAAAGGTAAAAATGAGAAAGCTGGAAAATTTCAATTGGATGCCAAGCCGGCTTCCAAAGAGAGTCCCTGTGCCCTGAAACGGGAACAAGAGACCAAAGAGAAGGATCAGCAATCTACTAAGATAAAAGAAAAGGTAAGATTTAGTAGGCGGTTTTACTTAAATAAACTATTTATCCAATTTGTTACCCAAACCTAATCTTCACTAGCCAATCGAAAAGCCAGCCAAGAAGAAAATGGAGGAGTCCCTGAATGCATCGCCCGTAAAAGACACCAATAAGGAAAATAAGCTCATGGCTTCTGACCAGACGATCATGCCCGAAGAATCCTCTCCAGATGTACCGAAGAAAAAACCAGTTAAGATCATCAAGAAAAAAAAAGTCATCAAAAAGATACAAGGCTTAGAAACATACTAATATTGTGTTTAAACATATTCATATTTTGGTTTTATTGTTTAGTTATTTGTTAAAAATTTGTTTTTGTTATATCCAAATACAGTGTACAACGTTGATAAGCCCATGAATTGGGGATAAAAAAACTACACATTAGCCAAATAGTTTGATCTATATGTTATAGGGAGAGGGGCTGGCTGATTTTGGTTTAATAGGCGTGTCTTGTTAATAATTGATATGTTTGTGTTCTAGCTATGACAGGGTGGTGTATCGCCTAGCTAGATATATTCGCTGGAGAATGTGCTTTCTAACTGTCAATTTAAAATTTTCAGTGTGACCAGCAGTTGAATATCTACCGACACTAGAATCATTTCCAACATTTTTGTTGGACAAAGGGCTGGATTGAGTTCGCTTCACACCGTTCGATCGAGCTCGGCTCCGACGCAACCGCTCTCCCGAACACCATCGAACGCATGTAAGGCCAGAAACGAGCGACTCAAACGCCGTCGATTCAAATTTTTTTTGGACTTCGCGGCGTTTGGTAGTTTTCTCGGTCCGAAAAATTTACCAGCCAAAATAACAGATTTCGACCGTGGCGGGTTAATTTCTAGCGCTGATAACTGGGATAATTCGAGAGCCATGTACGGTGTTTTCCTTGGCTGGATATAGAAAAATTCAAAAAGTGCACATAAATAAAGGAACAACGGTGTTTCCTTGCTCTTGTTTTACTTTGTTTCGCTATTTGTGAAAAATAACCGTTCAACGGTTTCTAGAATTAAAGCAGATTTCGGCGAAATCATCGTTTAGGCGAATCATCGATCAAAACAAAGTGCATGCTAAAAACAAAATAAAATTTAACCATGTTCGAACTTGAGGATTATTCCAGCGGTATACACGAGGGTTTCTTCAGCAAATATGCGGTAAGTAAAATAATAGAATAACTTTTTTGCACACATTTTGCCGGCCGGTCACACGCATACATTCGCATGTGCTCACACACAGACAGGCGCAATTTTTGAATTTAACGTTCAGTCTCCACGTTCCCCACACCCTCAACCGTTCCCATTCCCACCTGAACGAATACCCACCACTACGAAGAACAGTTTCAGCGGCGAAACTTTGGTTCCACTCGCCATCTCGCTCTCCCCTGCGGCCATTCATTCCCCGCCTCGCTTGCTCCAAAGCTTTGTTGTTGATTCGTCAATTCGCTTTCGCCGCGTTTAACGTGCATTTTTGAATTTCGAATTCGCCTCTGTGTGCTTACTCATGTGTGAGTGCATGTCTGTGTGTGTTTACTTTTGATCGTTAAGCTTTGAAAATTGCCTTTTCGCTTTTCGCTCAATAAACGAATGATTAATTACAACCGGAACAGCAAGAGCCGATAATAAATAATGGTTTGTAGTTCTATTGATTGTACACTTCCTCATCTTACTCTGTACTTGCTGCTATGGGGTTACTAACTTGGATAAATTCACCTCTGTAAACCGCCTGTTAATCGTACTAAACATTGGACTTTAATTTTATATGGGCTTACCGTGTTATTCTACTTGTATCATTAATATACTTGAATTATTTTACTCGCTTCAGCCAGCACAAGTCATTCTTTTGTTGTAGCCATGCGCAATTATTTGACTTATTTATTTTTTGTCACACACAGCGGTGGCTAAAACAATAGCAACAATATCAATATTTATAGGTTAAGTTTATTTATTAGGAAAGACATTTAGTTATTCCTACTTCTGGAATCAAACTATTGAGACTTCTGAATAATATGTACATAGTTAAAGTATGTCTCCTACTGTTAATGTTGGAACATTATGATTTGGAAAGTAAGATAAAGAATTCTTAATATTTCGGTATACAATTTGTATAAATATTAATTTATTAGTTTATTATTAAATTGACGTTTGAGGATCCCACAACTCACAAATTACTTATGCATTTTGATTTGATCTTAAAAATGTTATTCTTTCAAGAAAGTTTACTGTAAAATTTCTGGGGAATTTCCAATGAAATAAATGCATGGTGTTATAAGGATAAGGTCAAAAAGAGTGGGCCCTCTGTACTTAAATATGCTATTTTCTTGTCCGTAACTGTCACCCTGAGTACACTTTAGTGTGTTTCTCCACTGGTTCGCTGAGTTTTTCGTCTGGGGCTCTTCTTCGGCTTTTGCGTTTTAAACTTTTTGAAGGCCAAGCGTTCACCTCGAATCTTTTGGTTTTCAACTGTTTTAGCCTGTTTTAGTCTACAACTCTAAAGTGGCATATGATTTTGGGTCAGGAAATTTAAAGTTTCAGTTTAAAGTTTGAGCTAGCAGTTAGTAATCGGCATATAAATCGACAAACCGGCAAAGGAACTGACCTCCAGCAAAGTTTGCATTTTGAAATGGAAAATCAAAAGTACGGACTTGAAAAACATGTGCGCCTGTTAATTGCAACATGCAAAACTCCACACACACTCGGACGCACAATCTACAAGTGTTGCGAATTACGATAAAGTGTGTGTGTGTGTGTGTTTTGTGTGTATGTGCGAAGGGGAACAAAGAAAAGCAAACAAAATAAAACGTTTTATCTTGGGGTTTCCGCATGCTTGTGTGCGTGTTTGTGAGTATGTGTTTGTTTGTTTCGGAGTGTGAGAACAAAACAAAAGAAAAATAAAAAGCAACAGTCGACAGTTCCCACATCAAAAAGCTTTTCTCCCACGTTGTCCATCTCTTTCGCGCCGTTCTCTTCCTTCTCTTAGGTTTCGGCAACCTTTGTTGCAGCAACATGGCACGAAAAAAAGAAAATAAAGAAAGAAGTAAAGCAAAAATCAAAGTAAAAAGCCAACAAAGAACAACTTCAAAGTTCAACGCGCTTTTCATTCGGGAGTTCAAGGGGGGGTTCTTCGGGGTGGCAACATACCTACCCCAAAATGCAGACAAGGTGTGAAAGGGATGGGTATATAAGGACTGTGGGAGGACTGGCACTTGTCTGTTTTTCGTTCTGCTGCCAAATATGAGCGCCCAGCTGTATGCCGCATAGATTTTCTCACGGCCCCAACATACACAGGCACACAACGTACACGCACACTTTCGCAATTGCTGTCACCAATCCACACATTTACGTACTTAAATGGGGGGAGCTACTAATATCTATAGAAAAGATGAGATCAGGTGTTTTTATATTAGCAAGAATTAACATTAAATTAATCAAAGTTTAAGCAGAATTACCTATACATAAAATAATGTTTAAATTACATTATTACAGCTCTATTTCTTAAGATTTCAAAAGAACATATAATGGTTCATTTAATATTAAAACATTTTTTTATACGAACAATACTTACAAAACCAAGAAGTTAATGATCATTTTTTGAACTCCTCGAGATACTTTGCCAAAACCAACTAATTAGCCGCAAAGAACCTCACGAATGCCTGCCTCTAGGGAAACTTTCTCAAAGGGAGAGATCAAAAATGAAATTTCTGGCTAAATATAAACTTTTGGCAAATGCTGATTTCTGTTTTCGTAAATCACATGCACTTAATGAATGAAATATCCCAGCAAAGTCTCATTTACTTACCTTACTTCCCGCTAAACCGAGAGATTTAAAAACGATTTACGACTTGAGATCATCCAGTTTTTAAGGATGTGTACCTTTGCATCTGGATATGGGATTTGGTTGGGAACCCAGGCAAGCGACTTTTATTGCCGCACCATAAAGTAATTTACAAATGGGCGCTCATGACCTCAGGGAAGATGCTGTTCGAGAAAGGTCCAAAGGAGGAAACGGTCGGTTTTACCTGAGTTCAGGGATTCCTGCCTTTATTTGCTATATCTTCTTATTTCTCTTACTGTGTGTGTGTCAGCAGAGTGATTGCGAGGTGAAAGGCGGAGAAAGATGGTAAAATAAGTGCAACAAAAGACACGAAGCAGATGCAGGAAATACGGAAAACATGGTACAATTGCTAGTGACGAATCCTGCCGAGAAAAAGGACGAAAATACCCTTCGGTGTGGCTCCTTGGTTCGTTGCACAACTTAAAAAGACCAACAACAGGCAGCTGCAACAGAGCAACAGCAACAACTTTTCCAAGGTGCAATGGTAGGGGGTAAAAAAGGCCTGAGAGAGGGGGGCTGTAGGCCTTGTCGAAGTTTTACTGACAACTTTTGCATTTTCATTTAATCCCACTGATGGCCCAAAAGAGCTTGCTAAGAACTTTGTTCGCCTGTTCAATGCGTTTTTATTTCGGCATATTTTTTCGAGAATTTTTTAGGGGGGCAATAAAAAAAGAACACAAAAAATAAAGTTTAAAAGTGGTGAGGGGAAGGTAGAAAGGAGGCATGCTTTTTACAGTGACTGACGTCTACTAGGCCTTTTGCATGAATTTCTGAACGCCGCATTCAAAAGCCGGTTGATTTATTAGGGCTCTTGCAATCAAGGATTTATTAACCCTTCACCCGCACACTGTCCTCGCTCTGTTCCCCCAACCAAGAAGGTGTGAAAAATGGCAATTCCAAGCAACTGCTCAACGGAGGCCCGAGCAGTAAACTAATTAGATCCAGGAAGTTCGCTTTCCGTTTGGCGCAAATGCAATTCTAAACAGTTTACAATTTCTGGTTCTGGAATTGCAACTTACAGCAGGAAGAAAAATGTGAAAATACAGTGGTCTATCAATAATGAGTATATATTCTAAAGAAATTACGTAGGATTATTCAAATTAAATCTTGTATAAGGATGAGTTTCATATAACTCCAGACCAATAAAAGATTTACATAATTTTCTTAAGGCTATGTAATGTGAACCATTCAGTTTTCAATTGTGCAATCCACGCAATCGATCACTTACTGTACCGCAACCAACAGAACGAAACTAGGGACTTATCAACCCCCGAGTTGCAGCTGCCTGGGCAGCCTGCTTCCTCTTCTCCATTCTCTTCCAATTTCGACTGGAAACTGGCAATTCAACCGAGGGCAGGCCAAAAGGTTATCACACAGACACTGCAACACAGACACACACACACGTGGTTCAGAAAGGAATTTAGCAAGGGGACGAAGAAGGGAATCATCGAGAATCATGAGGAAGGGGAAAAGTGGAAGGAAAGAAGAGACCTAGAGCCACATACTCTTCAATCATTCCATCACTCCCATAATGGAACGGTCTACGGGCCCGAGCAATATCCTATCATCTCTATTATATTTCGGTTGTAATGTTCAATTAATGACCGCGGGGGTGAAGGGGAATTAGCTGTTGGCAAAAGGTTAAAGGGTTGTCCAAATGGCCAAAAAAGATCGCATAATTCAGCATGAAATCTATACGAAATTGGTGAATCATTTTCCGATTGGGGTAGATTCTGGCAAAGGGTTGGAAATCCTACGAATTGGTTATAAGGTTATAGTTTACACAAAAGCTGTCTTCTTGTTATATTTTCAAAACAAACATGTTTTCAGCATAAGCACATTTTTAATGTTCATTTTAGTTCGTATTCCAATTGGTGTTCTTAGAGGGTTGATATGGGTTTTAAATTGGAGTACGAATAATGTTAGGATTGGTCCTTATAAGCTTACAGAATGTTTTTGTAAAACAAATTGGCAGATTTATAATTTATTTCTAGATAATCATAATGGACTGGCTTACATATTTTATTAAGTTCCCTTTATCAAAACATCCATCCTATATCTACAAAGTCTGGTTTTTCTCATTGTTGAGTATTAGTTCCCCTGTCCAAATATCAATTAAACCAAATCATCGTGGACCCATTGACTCTTATCGCAACTCAATACAAATGGATTGAAAAACTGAAAAATTTGAGAAACTGCTGAGAGCTGCCAGCTGCTGAAGATTGCCAGCTGCCTCAGTATTCTGTTTTCTTTCTTTAGGCTCGCTCCTTGAGCTCTTTCGAGTTTTCCTTTTATCGGTTTGGTTGCATGTTGCACGGTGGCTGGAAGCATTCGAAAAGCAACAATTATAGGGCCAAACTCAGTTTTTTGGCTCCGACTCTTTTCCGCTTATCGGCCAAACACCTGTCGCGAGCTAATTCGATTTGGGTTTGTCCAGGATGCGCAATGTGGAGGGGTTAGATTTGAGGAGTTTTTTGTTGTGCAATGGTAATGTCTAAAACCATTACAAGAATGGGAAGGTTAAGGTAAACTGACACTCGAAGAAAAATAAATAATAAAAAACATTATCTAAATGTGGAAATCTTCTTGAAATTGCCTAACAAAAAGAAACGGAATAGTTTTTTTTAGCTGTAATCTGAAGAAAATAGAATCTTCCCAACAAGACCTGCAATTTGTACAGTACCTAACCTAACTGCGATAAATTATATAAAAAATTCCGAATTTATTATAGTATTGTGATAATTCCGATCTCTGAACTATAAAAACTTTTTGAAATCCCCATTTTCCCATGTGTATTTCAATCGGATAATGGGAAAATTGGAAACTGGCAATGGGCGGAAGCACTTGGATGCCACTTGAAATTTTGAACTGACAAAACCGGGATACACAGCAACCTCATCTCGTCCCCTTTCGAATTCCTCACATCCCAATCACTCCGGCACAGACACATGGAATGGGCTTCGGATTGGGGGATACAGAAGGGGTTGTGCAGATAAAGGTGCTCACTTTTTGGGGAAACCCCCATACCTCTAACTGTGTCGCCCCTTTTGCCATTACCTTTTTTCCCTCTGATAAAAGGCACCCCGAACATGCGCCTGCACCAATTTATGATATCCTGCTAAATTATGCAACTTATCATTCTCGTGAGGCACGGGCTCTATATCCATCCCGATGTGTGTATATGCTCTTGTCTATCGATTTTTTACCGTCGCCACATAAAATAAAAAACAACACAGAAGTCGGGGTCACAAAAGATCCCCGCCCCCCATTTTGGGGTCAGGTCAGTGTTTTGTTCTTGGCTTCAAGGACACCTTGACATTGAACTCCCTCTCGCTCGCTCTTCCTCTTTCCATCTCTGTCGCTCCTTATCTAACAGTAGCGCCACATTTAACAGCCGCCCAAAAACTGTAAAGTAACAAAAGCATCTTTCATATCGCCACTACATACAGCCCAACGAAGTTGCAAAAAAAAAAAAAAATAAAGTCGGCAAGCAAAAACAGCAAAAAGCAAAAGTACTTTGCCTGTTTTTGCTGCTTTTGCTTTTTTCATTTATGTTGTTGCTGTTGCTGGTCGCTTCGTGTTTTCTGTTCTCAGAAACTCGCCGCATGTTTTGTTGCCTACTGTACGCGCAACAGAGGTCGCAACTTCGCCTCTGTGGCAGCTCTGTTATGTGTGTTCTATGTTTTTGTAAATTTCCTACCCTCTCTTTTACTCTCTCTCTTTGCTCGCTCAACTTCGCCGCACACATAGAGAAAAAAAGGAACAAAAAAAAAAACAGCAACCGAGAACAGCGCAAGCGAAGTTCCCTGTTTTTCTGTTTTTGTACGGCTTTAATTCCTTTTCCCTCTCAAAGTCTGCAAAATATTTATGTATATATATACACAAATACATATGTCTGTATATTTCCCCCTTTTGCTGTATTTTCTGAAACATGCTGCCGCAACATTTGTATCCACTGGTGGTTGTTTGTAGCAACATTTTCGATTTGTAAATCTAATATTCTGATATTTGTTAGTCACTTTTTTTGAGGGGGAAAGAATTTTGCCATTACAGGCCTCATTTTTAATGCTGGTCGCGCGAGTATTGATCCCCTCGACTCCGCGAATGTGTTGCATAAAAACTTTCAATTTTTCTGATATCCGGTTTGGCCACCGCCTTTGCTGTTGTTGCTGTGTGGCCTTCTCGCGGCCTGGACCTCGACTCCTTTTTCTTTTCCTCCCACTTTTGTTTATGTTTATGTTGTGTAAATACAGCGACGGCCAAAATAATAGCCACTAAAATGTTACATTACAATTTTAACGGCAATATTAATTAGAAAATTTATAAAGTTATTTTAAACCCCAATAGAGTATCCTTAAAAAATAATTATTTACCCCCAAAATTTATTCAATAAACTAAAAATGGTATTATTTTTGCTACCACCACTGTATATACTAGCAATGTTTTGAATGTTTGTACACTCATATACAGATATATATATAATTTTATGTACATATGCAGCACCGACTCCAGACTCTCGAACAAAATTGTTTACATGTTGCCGACTTTCCTGTTGTTGTTGTTGTTGTTGTACTGGTTCTGGTGTTGCAACATGAGTTATTTTTGTTGTTGGGCGGGCGTGCTATATGGAACTCAGAAAATATCAAAACCCCGCGACCTTTTCCCTTTTCCTATCCTTTTTGCTGTCTGCTTTGTTTTTTATTTATTTTTTTTACAGCCTGCCAGCCTTGGCGCGTAAAAAACTGGTTTTGAACTCGGCTCTCTTGCTCTGTAGTCCCTCATTTGGTAATGTTGTTGTTGGTCGTGCCTCATATAGAAAATGAAAACCTATACGATCCCCAAAACATACATACACATGCACACACACAGATATATCAGCAAGGGGATATCAGATTCGGACCCAGATTCGAGCGACTTGTGCTACAGATTTAATCATTATAATATATATGGGTCTATGTATGCAAAGGAATTTTATCCCTATGAGGTTTTCTCTGGAAAACAAAAGCGCGGGAAAATTGTCAGTACGTGTTTTATAGATTTGTTGATGTTTTGAATTCTGCTATGCGAGGCGTAATGTATATTTTTTTGTTGAGAGATTGTTGAAATAAAAATCTTTGTCATGGAAATATTATCCAACGTTAAATCATATTTTTTAAAAGATATTTCTAGTTATTCAAATGCTTATGAATTTGTATATTCTGTATATTAGTTAATGTTAATAGATACTTGATCTTAACCAATAAAATATAAAATATCTTAAGAGGTCAGAATCCTATTATTGTTAAAACTCTTTTTAATTCATTACTAAAATGTTACATAATTTGCTTATTGCAGGATGCTGCTGGACCCTCGCTGGACTTCTATGTATCCGACTCGATGCAGGAGATGCTAAACGTGGACATTCGCGCCGAGATTGCCAATGTAGTGGGCAGTTCCAGCAGCGACTTCACCTCGTCCCTGGACCAAACCCTGGAGGCTATATCCGCTATTAACAATCAGAGCAGTGCAAACACCAGCCAGACAGCTTCCTACAATGCAAATGCTAATTTCCTGACCAGCAGCGCACTCCATGCCTCGCCCACTGCCAAATGGATGGGCTCGTCGGCCAGTTTTTGGTCCAACAGCGATTACTATGCAGATCTGGGAGCTTGTGTAAACCCCATTTCCGTGATGCCACTCATTAATTCATCTTCCGGATCCGGAATGTTCTCGCCGAAGAGAAACAAGACAGTTACATCCACTCAGGGAAGATCGGGAGCAGTGCCGTCGTCGCCCAACGCTGACAGGGATCAACACAAGTCCCATCTGACCTTCTCGCCAGCCCAGATGAAGGTCAGTGCAGGTTCAATGAGAAGGGAGCAGGTTATGGCCCACATTCCAAAGCAAATATCCGTGGTAACGGGAACGGGAACCACAGCGCCCGCCACAATGGCCACAAATTCAGTACTTCAACGGCGTAATTCCTCGGCCGTAGATGCAGTTCGCAAGGATTTGGTAACAGAGCTGCGCAAAGCCCAATCTAGTCCCGTGCCGAACTGCGTGGAGGAGCTGGGCAAGGGCAAGGGATCCACACTGCTCAGTGCTGGAGTTGGAGCCACCAATACCATTAAACTGGCACCTGGCATCGGTGGTCTGACCTTTGCCAACAGTGCTGCCTACCAGAAACTGAAGCAAACCTCTTCCGCTAAGTCACCCGGAGGAATGTCGCCAGGAGCGGGAGCAAATACGGGCCTCAAGCGGGAGGACTCAAACAAGCGAGGACTGCAGGTCAGCACCACACCAAAGAGCATCGCTTCGGCGGCAAACTCGCCGCATCATCAAATGCAGAGCAACTACAGCCTTGGATCACCATCGTCCCTGTCCTCATCATCGGCATCTTCCCCCCTCGGCAATGTTAGCAACCTGGTCAACATAGCGAATAATAATACCAATGGAGGTGGGGCAGGTTTGGTAAAACCACTACAGCAAAAGGTTAAGCTGCCAGCAGTGGGCAGTCCGTTCCCGAAGCCAGCCTACTCCTACTCCTGCCTCATCGCTTTGGCCCTCAAGAATTCCCGTGCAGGATCACTGCCAGTTTCGGAAATTTACAGTTTTCTTTGCCAGCATTTCCCGTACTTTGAGAATGCTCCCAGCGGCTGGAAGAACAGTGTGCGACACAATCTTTCTCTGAACAAATGCTTCGAGAAGATCGAAAGGCCAGCTACGAATGGTAACCAGCGGAAGGGCTGTCGTTGGGCCATGAACCCCGAGCGCATAAACAAGATGGATGAGGAGGTGCAGAAATGGTCACGTAAAGATCCGGCTGCCATTCGTGGAGCCATGGTCTACCCTCAGCATTTAGAGTCCCTGGAGAGGGGAGAGATGAAGCACGGATCGGCGGATTCCGATGTGGAGCTGGACTCGCAGTCGGAGATTGAGGAGTCCTCGGATCTCGAGGAGCACGAATTCGAAGACACCATGGTAGATGCTATGCTGGTGGAGGAGGACGATGAAGCCGAGGAAGAGGATGACGATGATGATCACCTACTCAGTGAGTTTGAAGGCGATGATGATCGTCATTCCCATACCAACGGAAACCAGTCGAACAACCTGCCCATCGACCATGCACTTCTCGCCCAGAAAAGCAATGACTTTGATATAGAGGTGAGTTTGGATTATAATTTCTTTAAATTGCTGGTTATGTAATACTTTATTTTATTAATCTTTAGGTTGGTGATCTGTATGATGCGATCGACATAGAAGACGACAAGGATGCAGTTCGTCGAACTATCTCTAAGGTCCAGACGCAGCACATCATCGAGTTGAATCCAGCCGATCTGAATGCCACCGATGGCTACCTCCTACACCAGCAGCCGCCATCAAAACGGGCTCGCGTGGATATTAACTATGCGATTGGCCCGGCTGGAGAGCTAGAGCAGCAGTATGGGCAGAAAGTGAAGGTGCAGCAGGTCGCACAGCCACAGCTGAATCCGCCCACCTACAACCGGCGCAAGATGCCGCTGGTCAATCGCGTCATCTAGAGCGGGCACAGCCCTCTTTTCCCCAAAAACCCATATTACATTAATCACTTAGTGCTAGGTCATTGATATTTAAGAAACCCTTGCTACGCTTAAACGTATTACCTAAGCCCCATCCCATCATCCAATATCCAATATCGAATATCAGTTTTCAGTTATCAGTTTTCGGTTTCGTGTGCAGAACCCAAAATGTTATTCAATCTACCCTTCCCCATTATTTGTATTTTAGTATGGCTGCCGTTTGATTTTAAATCTCGATTCGATCATTAGCCATCTGAAAGAAAAGGAGAGAGAGGAGCCTTCGGCCTCTTTATATTTTTGCTTAATTTGAATCTTTTCTATAGTCGCTTCTCGAATAAATCTATATATTTATTGTTATATAAAAAAACAACCGAAATTTTGCTCCACTTGACTATAATTTGAGTCCGTTTCGCCTGACGCTTGAGCAGAAGAGCTCAACAAGAAGATCCATTGACGATGCATGAGCGAGCATGTTAATATTTTTCCCAGACTTTTTCAGTCTGTAGTTATTGATTTGATCTCCTACTGACAAATGAAATGTAAATTTTAAATTGATAAGAAACTTGACAATGCATTTTAATTGACATTTAATGTGCAACACATCGATTATTTTGACAACGAAATTTTATATTTCATAAAATTGAATTAACAATTCGCATTTGCATTTGCGAATATTTTCAGCAACTTAAGTTTAAGAAAGTTGAAAGAGAAAGTTGATCACACACATACTTGCCGGTCCAGTATTCGTATGCGAGGTATTTTGCGGATTTTTATAGAACTTTTTTATATGATTATACTATATACATATATGTATATATAATATAGAAGGCAAACCTACAATTATTGTCGGAAAGTTCAGTCAATTAATAATATGGTTATTTTGTAAGGCGGTTCGGTATGTAAATAGTTTACACGCAGAAAAGAAAAAAACTTGTATACTATGTGCTTAGCTGTAAGTGAAATGTATGTACATTTATTTTGTAAGCCAAAACCCGAATTCCAAATGAAACGACAAGATCCGAAAACCAATAAGACTTGAAAGAAGAGCGTAACCCGTCAAATGAACATGAACACAAGCCTCAGAAGTAAATAGTACAAAGAGCTAACTAAGTTACGGGCCAGTAAAACAAAGCATTTAACAAAGCCAACCAATAATGGTTGGCCCATGGAAATAAAACATTTTCTTTTTGTTATTATCCTTTTCTCACTTTTCAACAATTCCATTTTTAAATCAGCAACATTCATGCATTTATTGTTGTAATATTAGCACCTAAAAATAGCATTACAAAATAATATTGTATCCATAAGTAAAACTATGTAAATCATTAAGCTAAGGATGAAACAATTTTTGTATAGAGTTGTTAGAAAATCAATTGACAAAACAAATTGAAACCAAAAAAAAAAATATTAAAATAAAATTTAACTAAAAATCTAGTGGTATTGACTTTTGGAACTGTATTTTGGACAACTTTAAAGGTTAGTCAATGAGTTATAAGTCAGGTTTCCAGGAAATAAAACGTATGTTTTATTATTATTTCATTGACAGTTTTTATTTCACATACATAAATAGTTTTGACATTTTAAAATTTCAGTTTTTCGTTTTACTTTTACTTTTCAACAACCAATAGAACTTAGATGCTAGCTAAGCTTTTTGCAGTTTGAGCAGAACCAGTTCCCCCTGAAAAGGGGAATCCCAGGTTATTATCGACGTCGGTTTCTTGTGCCGGACAGAGCATATTAGTTCAGATGTGTGCTTTACGACTAGACAGTTGGGTATCTTCGATGCACAGATACCCTTTTTCAGTTGGCTAATGCTAGCTAGTTTGCTTGACTTAAAAAAACTGTTTCGCTTGCTGGTTGTACTCTTGCCCAAAACGGCATAAAATACTCGGATAAGCGCCTCTGTTAAAATACATGTTTCGTAATAAAATGATTCCTTGTAGTTAAAATATACATATACATTTATGTATCTTTATATATATATATATATATATATATATATATGTATATATATTAGGTATGGTAAATTGTATTGTTTCAAAATTGAGTGTTGATCTTTGCACATTTAAGGCCTGTTGTTTACTTAGCTTAAGTTTTGAGTTTTGAGCTGGGTAATCCATTCCGTTTACATTTTTTTGAATTTGAGCAAGCTTTTCGATGTGAGCTGTTTTTCTTTTCGACTATAATCTAGAAACCCCTACCCTCCCCTTCTGACTAATTCCTCTGAGTGCGCCTGTGTGAGTGGGTGTGCTAGATCTATGTGTGTGTGTGTGTGTTGTGCGCCGTGCGCTAAGATATACAAGATCGTTTGTTGAAACCAGACAAAACTGATGCCACCTCCGAACCCATCGTTATAGTAGACAGTTGATTACAATTATTAATGCACATGTACTTAAACTAAAACGTATCCTACGAATACAGATCAGGGCTAACAAGGCCAGGCGTCGCTGCCGCCGACCTGGCTTTCAACTTGCTTGCTTTCTGGACGGCTCTTCACTTCGATGCGGGGGCAGTCCAGTACTCGAAAGATGACAGTAGAAGCTCTCTTGGACGGGCAGCTACTTCGTTTGGAATCTTATATACTCTTCTTGGATATTTTGTAATATCTCAAAACCCATTAATCATGTTTTTTAGTGAGGTTCCTGTCCAAGAGCGCTTTCACTAAGCATGAGTCCGGAGCCTGCCTAAAACTAACCACTAAAATTTTGACTGACTAAGTTGGTTTTGTGAGAACTTAGGGCTAAAAACTAGCACACGGATACGGTACGTTTACGGATATACAACACGATTCCACTATTAAATGCAGAGCTGAATGACTGGTGACGACAGGGGCTGGGGGTGCACATTGATGGGGACAACGATTACTGGTTACATAAACACTACTCCGATTACTCCGCTCAATGCCAGCCACTGCTGCCACATCCGAGTCTCAGGGCCTCATTCCTGCTTCAGTCGCTTGGCCTCGTTGCCTACGTCACCGCCACTGCTGGCCGAGCTGGGAGTCGTCTGTTGCTCCGTGTCGCTGGTGATGTACGCAAACTGGCACTCGAACTCAAAGTCCATGTCCTTTTTCTAGAAAAAAGAAGGGAGCATTAGAAGAATTTCAATATCAATAACTTAACGTACTCACCATCCTTTCACAGATTACGGCAATGGCTGTCTTGTCTTGGGCCTCGGCAATCTTGTGCTCCACCAAATAGAACATGTATTCATCGAACAGCAGGCGAATCAGGTGGAAGCTGCCGAAACTGGAGGCGGATCTTAGTGTCAGGTCCCGGATGATCATCGAGCTGTAGAAGCTCCACTTCAGCAGGAACTGCCGAGCAGCTCTGGCATACGTAGGTTTCCCGTTGTATTCCTCCATGGCCGATTCTACAACCAGTTGTAGCCAGCTGGCCCACTGCTCCAGGGAGCTCTGCTGCTGCAGGGCGGCCTTGAAGTCGGTCTCCAAACGTTGCACTACAGCGGGGGCACATTGACTCACCCATGCAGCTTGTTCCTGAGAAATAGATTGTTCAATTAGTTTTTAGCTACGCAACATAAGGTCATTAAGCTCACCTGTACATTGTGGAAATCGACGCGATTTAGATCGCTGAGCATTTGGGAGATCTGGGCGCCATTCTGGAGCACTGCCCGAGCAGCCTGCGCCAGGTGATTCAGCGAGGTGTAGCGCCGCAGCGTTTGGCAGAAGGCCGAGACTGCACTGGTCTTGATCTGTGCCAGCTGCTCCGGCACGCCCAGCATGCTCTCGCAGAGCCAGATCTCCAGGTTCTTAGCAAAGTTACGGATGGCCTGGGTGAGGGCATTTGGTATGGAGCGAAGGACATCCGGTATAATGACATCAACGGTGTTTTGATAGAATTGGTAGTCAACCTAGTCATGAAATTGATTAGACGAATTAATATATAGGAAATGGAAATGTTTTAAGTTAGTTTTGTAAAAGAGTTTTTGCTTAAAAAGTGACTTCAAACTTGAACTGATTTCGCTTTCGCTCGTGAATAAATCTTGTAGAAATTTCAGAAATTCGGAACAGACTACTCGGGAGCCGAATCCCGGCTATCATTGGCTACCAATTCACTCCGACCCACCTCTCGCACGAACTTCTGCACTTCTGCGCAGTGACACAACAGATACAGCTTCGTTTTGCTCAAGTACTTCTCCTCCTCGCACTCATCCAGGTTGTTATTGTCGCTGGCCCGCCAGAAGTCCCGCAGCAGGAACTCCACGGTGTTGAACTCCAGATTGAGCACTGCATCCAGGAAGGACTCACAATGCTCGCGGTATAAGGCCCGGAATGTGTCCACATCTTCCAAAGTCAGTTCGCTGTTGAAACTATGGTTCAGCTCGATAGCCGGAAACGAGGGCAGGGCACTCGTCCCATCGCCAATGTACTAGGAGGGGATATAAATTAGTCAATAAATGGATTAAGTTTAAAAGAGATATTTACATATTAATTGGAAAATGACGTTGATATATTAAAAAATAACTAAAACTTTAATACGAAATGAGTTGATAAAAAAGTTACTAAAATACAACTTTGCCCTTATTATTCAGGTTGAAAAAATAATAATGGGCTTATTTATTGATTTTTATTTTAATAGATATGTTTTTAAGAAGTTTTAAGATATGTATTTTAGGAAATAAACGAGCTTGAATTTAAAGTGTTAAGATAAATTTCTCACTTTTTAGGACAGAGTTTTTGTGATTATTTTACAAAAAGCTACTTTTATGCACTTTTTATAAAGATACTTTTCGAAAACTAGTTGGTAATTCGCTTAATAGATAAAATTTTCACTGATTTTTATTTAGTTTCAAATTTAACAACAAACTTCCAAAACAGGAAATTAAATCCTCACCTGAATGCAACGTCTCATAGGTCTCCGGCTTGAAGGTGTGCTTCTTGGTGCCGTTGCTGTGTCGCTGTCCGTGGCCACCGCCCAGTCCATTTGATCCGGACAATTGTCCGGCTGTGCTGCTGGTCACACTGACCATGGGTCCTGGTCCACCAGATCCCGATCCATCCGGTGATGGGCCATAGCCGGCAGCCAGCATCTGCTTGTCGTCCATGGCCTGACTGTTCAGCAGGGAGCCGGGCTTGATGCGGATGCCATAGTAGTGATACTTGGAGTTGCCGCGCGTGCCCAGGCGACGTGTGCGCAGTCCGGAGAACACAGAGCGTATCAGCTTGCCGAAGCTGGCCGCATTCACGGGCTCCAGTTTGTGTTCGCTGCAATGCTGCATGTAATGGTTGTACAGCGTACTCCTGGGCAGGCTCACCCCGTCCGCCGTTTCGTAGTTGCGCGACAGCCACTTGATCTGAAAGAGAGATGGATATATATATAGGCATTGGGGGATGTTGAACTTGAGGGGTGCGTAGCCATGGGGATGCACTCACCGTTGCCGAGGCAATCTTGTTGCTGCTGCCGAGCGCACTCTGGTCAGAGTCTGGGGAGGCCCCTCCGCCGCCTGTTCCCAGGCTGCCGCCGCTAGCCGAATGGGTCGTGGTCGTCGAGGTGGGCGTCTGGGGCGTGCTCTGCGCCTCCTGGATGTACGCGACCTCCTGCACCCAGTGGCGATTAGTTCCGTTCACCCGGTCCGCATCCCGCTCCCAATCCCTGCTACTCACCGTCAGGCTGTGCGGCGAATCGCGTCCATGCGATTGTGACTGAGACTGCGACTGCGACAGCGAGTGTGTGGAGCCGTTAAGGAGGATGCCCTCCTCCACAGGCACCAGGTACGGCAGTGTGGTGGAGTGTGCCCCATTTGAGGAGCCACCGGCCGATGAGGTGGCACCATATTGACCCGTGGTTGAGTAGTAGGCCGTCTGGCCGTTGCCCTGGTAATCCCCCACCGGGCAGAATGGATAGGTCCTGAAATTGGCAAGGCAACAAGGTAAGATAAAGGTCGAACTCTGGGTATTTATCTATTTAGTAAGTTCCTCTTGGGTCCCCACTCACATTTGTGTCTGGCTGGAGTTGCTGTGGTACAGCTCCGAGTCCACATATTGCACTTGGTAGTTCTGCTCTTGGCCAGAAACTGGAAAATAGTGGAAAATAGGAGCGTTTTAATAGAGTTTTGGTAATTTCAGATTGTAAGGTTAAAAGTAAATTTTACCATAAATATTCCTACTTTAATTGTTTTTCTAGTTTTATACTAATCATATTTCCGATAGCTTATATATAAAGCTAAGCCGTCGGAAAAGAAGCTTTTTCCGACGGTAAATTTATCATTCAAAATTAAGATTAAGTAAGTTTTTCTTATTAATTTCCTTAAGTAAGAAGGTACTTTAAAGAAAAGCTTGAATTTTAAAAAATAATCTGTATGGATACATATTGGGAATAATAATTTTTAGTATCAGCTTAGTTTATGGAATACTTTTTTGAACAAAAAATCGAAACCTAACAAGTCTTCTACCTACAGAAGGTAGTTTTCTTAATTGCACCACAAACTTTGAACACAAAGATACATCTGTAAATACTCTTGAGAACAGTCCCAAGTCCTCCGTCTGTCTATTCACTTCATTAAGTTGCCACCATGGGAAAACACACTTGACACTCTCCTGGCCACACACGAACATATAGCCCGGCAAACAGGTGCTTCAGATACCGTATTCAAAGTTCAAAGTTTGAACAGAAATCGATTGGATTGGAGGAGGAGAGGGGCAGATATTTACCACCGCAGTAGGACAAATTGTTGTGCCGTCGATGATGGTGGTGGTACATGGTGGTGCTGGAGGATCCTCCGGTTATGCTTGTTGCGGTGCCGGCGGTACAAGAAGAGTTTGCCGATGAGGAAGGTGCACTGGCACCCGTTCCACTACCCGAACCCGTTCTCGATCCCAAACCAATCCCAGAACAATTGCTATAACTAGTTGCACTGGCACTGGCCACAAAGGTCTGATGATGGTGGTGATGATGATGGTGGTGCAACTGCAATTGGAGCTGGGCGGGCGGTGGTGCTGGCGCGGGATTCGTGGTCACGGATTGCTTGCAGCGACACTTCTCCAGCAGATTCGAGTAGGCCACGGCAGCAGCGGCGGTGGAACTGATCACTGGCGGCGTTGGTGGCGACTCCAACGGAATGGGGCAAGTTGGTGACGGATGGTGGTGATGCTGCTGCTGTTGATGATGGTGCTGGAGCTGCTGCTGCTGCTGTTGGAGGTGGTGGTGGCGCGTCTGGCAGTCAAAGCCGTACCGCGAATGCATTCGTTTGGCCGGAGGTGGAGCGTAGTCTGCTGGAATTGGTGATCCCTAAACTGGGTGAATGTATCCGCGGTTCTCAGATGATTCCGAAAAGTGTTTCTTCTAAAACTTTAGGCTGTTTTCTTAAGTTTTCTTTACTTAAATCGGAAGTCCAGCACATGGCTAAATGTTAAGATTGAAATTTTCGAAGGTTTGTAAGATCAATGAGAATGATCTTTCAACAAAGATTTCCAAAGTCTTTCAAATTTTTCAAATACGATTTTTATCAAGAACGAATTTTGCAAAACTCTAATAAAAATTTTATAATCCAAAAAGTCCAATAAGTAACGTTTTGATGACAAGAATCCTATATCATAATAAAAATATCCAAATCCAAGTAGAGAATTTTAAAGATGAGACTACAGAGGTAAGAATCCAATTATCAGATTTCCAGAAATATAATCCATAGATTCAGTTTTAAAGATCCTGGACCATAGCTTCATAGCTTAACGAAGATCCACAATTGAAAGTCCAAAATGTATGTAAATCAAAGGCGCCGAAGTTCAGTGGCGTAAGTGGAGAAGACAAACGGTTGCTTCTGGCAACTGGGCAACTGGCTCAGAAAGCGAAAGTGAAATCCTTGACCAGGCAACGCTCCATTCAGATCTCCTCTCCTTTCGACTGTGGGTGGTATTTGTATTTGTATTTGTATTTGCATTCGTATTCGTATGGTCTTGAGTCTTGGGTTGCGATGGCTGGAATCGAAGGACGGATGCTGGATGCTGTGTGGATGGCGTGGAAACGGAGCAACCAGTGCCTGCGAACGGTAGAATTACAACTGAATCCAAAATCAAATGTTATCCTAGCAATATGCCTCCGAAAATAATGATGATGGCGAACTCACGACGACGGCGGCGCAGCAACGAATTAAATTACAACAACGGCGGCTGCTGCCTCGGCGGTTGGGTGGTTGCCCTGGTGGGTGGTGGTTGCTATTATGATCCGTATACCCGTAGCGAGTAATCCAACCCAGACCCTCGAGCTGGTTTTTTTCGCCCTCCCCTTCCCACACCTCGTACTCTCAGTACCCGGTTTCAAGCGGTGTGCTGGCTAATTCCGGGCTCAAAGTCGCATTTTCTGGGATCTGCACAAGTGGTGGTCGAGATGGGTGGACTCCGTGGGTGTCCTGTGGAGTCCTGGGATGCTGGATACGCAAGCGGGATGGCAACACGACGACAGCGTCAAGGCAACGACGCCTGGCCAATCCCACTTCTCAACGGTTGCTAGGCAGCCTCTCTGTCTCGCTCTCACCATCTGGCCCTCTCGCTTGCACAGTCGCAACATCAACCCCTGGATGAGGATGCTGAAGGATGTATCCTGGCCAACCAAATCGCTTGCTGCCATCCCTTCGGCATTGGGATGGAGATGTGGGAGTTTCCATGGCCGATGATGAAGAGAAAAAGATGTGGGTGGTTGCTGGGATGATATACAGGAGTGGTTTGGGTTTGGGTGGAGTAGAGAAAGCAGCCGGAATGGCATACCATGCGTGGAATTTTTCCATATTCTCCCCGTGGTCAGGCCAGTATTTCTGTTCTTTCCGTTCGGTTTTTTGTTTTTTGGCAGCTTCCTCTTGGTCACCGCTTTGCATGGCATATTTCAGATATTAATTTTGCTGCTACTGCGGAGAAGAAGGAGGAGGAGGTCCTTGTGTGTGTTCGTATATGCATGTGGATCCTGAAGTTGCTGCGGTCAGACCTGCGGGTTGTAAACCCCTGCCTTTGACCCCAAACATTTTCCCTTTGACACGCTGCTGCTGCAAACTGTAAATATTAACAGGTGCCCCTTGGGGCTATTTCGACAATTTTGTGAATGTGGAAGTGATGACTGGCAACCCCCGGCAGGCGAGGCACTTAACAATGGCAGTGGGAATGGTCTTTTAAAGTTGTCAAGGCTTAAACTGATTTAAATGTCATGCACAGGATCTTTTGAGGTTCCTTCAAGTGGACCGCATTCTCGCCAAAACATTTGGCCTCTCAATGATTTTGGTTTCAGTGCACAAGCAGTTTGGCTTTGGTAATTGCCTTTGGAATGGATAGAGATTGGATCTCTGACAGATGGAAGATTAAGTGGGGTAAAGGCAAAAAGTTAAGTTTTAAGGATGATTGATAACTCGAGAAACCTGAAATAGGTTGAATTTTATATAGAGATGCTTTTTAATAATGTTTTTTTACTCAAACAAGTTCAAGAATCCACCAATATTGATCATAGAAATCGGAATAAGAAAACAAATGTCTCTACAAAATTATAATAAAGTCATTGGACAATAGTCAAAAATACAGATCAATCTCATAACCACAAAGAAAAAATATTTCAATCATGATAGGGCAGAACACTAACTGTTCTTTCTAAAATTTGAGTTCAAAAGGTCTATTGTAAAATTCACTTTGATGCGCCACTTGTCCAAATTCCCAGCTCCACTCCACATGGGCAACATGGGAGCTAAAAGTTGAGCACACAAATTGCCAGGATAACGATAGCGGACAAGTGCAGAATAAAGTTAAGAGAGTGAGGGAAGGGGCGCAACTGGCTTATCCTGCATCTCTACGACTATAACGTCAACAAACAATTAACCTTTTTGTGAGCCGGACACTGGCTCAGGGGGGCGGGATGAGCCTCAATGGGATTGGCCTGGGCTAAACTGGGGTCAAAGAGGTGAGTCCTTTGTAGAGCTTCACTTGCTGTGATTGCCACAGCGAGATAGCATTCTCCGAGAATTATGAACTACAGACTCGCTTTTGACAAATAAATTTGCGCTTATCTTGATTGCCAGCTTGCCAGCAGAACACAAATAACTTTTCTGTTAGCACAATTAAAAGAAGCCCGGCATATGCCAATGTTCTCTAACTAAGTTGGAACTTGGAATTCAGGAAAGAGCTTGGCAACCACCATCGCCCACATCATTCGTCCACCTAACCATCATCATAGCAATCACCGACCAACCACTTCAACTGGTATGGATTCCCGCGTTGTATTTTTCTATTTATAGTTCCTGGCGTTATTAAATGTTAAGCTCGTCGTCGTCGTCATCGTCTTCTGCCTCGTCGATTCGATGAGCACCCAGCAAATCCGTATCAATTGAAAAATACAATACAACATATTCGAGAAAGGTGAAATATGGCGTGGGCATCCTCCATCCAATCTGGTGATAAACACCCACAACCGAAGCCGGAGCTATGATACCCTTCCGTACATGTACTCGTGAATATAAAAGAGATTCCTCGTCAATTTCGATTCGAAATCAGTGCACTGGGAGAAATGCATTGATTGAATTTTTAACAAAACAACTTAATTTATAAAATTGTTGATAAAATAATGACAAAAATGCGCAATAAACCAGAGGTGAGATGTTTTTTGTGGACTTTTCACTTTTCTTACAGGAAACTTCATTAATCTTTAAAAAAATTAGCTAAATGAGTTTTTTTAGGTTGAAAAACCAGAGGGATAATGCCTTATATAGGATTATAAAACATAGAATTTAAGAAATTTATAGAATTAGAAAACTTATTCGTTGACTTTTTTAAGTGATGATTTTTGGAAAAAAACAAAACCAGAAATTTCTTTTAGTGTTAGAGTATTTGAGTCCTTTATGAAGGACGAAGGTATTAGTTGACAGCGGGCGGTTATTAGCGAGTCGTCGACTCATCCACGTGAGCACTAAGCACCACCCCCACCCCTCTCGAGCTCAGCACCCCTTTGCCCCCTCCCCAGTGCATCCAGGGACCCGGATCACGCACCGTGTGAAGCCCTCTCAATTTGTTGTGATTACCCGATGTTGCCATTGAGGATGTTTGCCCTCCTGCGTGTCCTGGTGGTGGTAATTTGTGCTAATAAAATCAAGTACGATACCAAACATTCGTATCCCGACCCTTTTCGTTGTCCGAATTTGTTATATAGATAGATAGTTCCGCGGCGAAGTGTAATCTCGATTAAATCATTGTGCGGCGCTCGAGTGGATGATAATAATTATGTCTGTGCCGGGGATATCATTCGCAGTGTGTCGTCCTCTATCGTCTCAATCCCAGCTGCACTTTGCCTCTTTGTTGCTTTTTGTTTTGCACGTGGCTCAAACGGATTCGTGTGTCGTGTGTCCATGGACAGGTAGTATCTATATCCTCCACGGGGTGTGCGTGTGTTTGCCCTATCTATCCATTCATCCATCTGCCTAACCACCCATCCATCAAACCATCCAGCCATTCATTCTTGTATCACTGCTCGTCGTTTCATTTTCCAAATTAAGTCGGTTTAATTGTGATATCAGGCAAACGTTTAAAATACGCCGGATTTTAAGCTGGTCCTTGTTTCCAGCTCACTCCCTTTCCCTTTTTCCCAATGGCAGGACATGTTGATCCTGTCATTATTTTTGTTTACAAAGCCGCGACTTTTGCTGTTTGTTGTTTCCCGTTTGCTGGTTTCCGCTTTGATTTCCGCCCATCATCGCAAGTGCCGCCCATCAAATCAGGAGTTTCTCTTTCGGCTCAGGACTTTAGGGAAGTGGCTTTTTCCGCTCTCAACTGGAATAAATCTGTAATGCGAATCGTAGCTTGTTTGTTTTTTTTTGCGGCATTGCAGTTTTTTCGCGTATTAACAAAGTGATATCGTAATTGATATTTATCCATCAGATTTTGCACAGATTTTATCAAGGGAATCTCTGCAGTAAGCTGATTTATTAATTTGAGAAGTTAGGGATATTTTCAAGGGATATTCTCTTAGTAATTTGACAGATTTTAAAACGTTTTTTTAACTTTAATAGATATATTTTTAAAATGCGCTTTTTGGTTTTAGCTTGATGGTTATTTTGAAAAGCATTGTCTAAGCCAAAACATACATTTTAATGTGTGATTTTCATTGGTAATACATAAGAATACATAAGCCTTTTAAATTTCATTAATAAGCCAAAACTAAGGTTCTCCTATTCCGTAAGGTAGTTTCAAGGAAACTTATATACTCCTTTAAAAATTATTCCGAGACTTACCTGTCACCGTAATAAACGGCGTTCCATCATCATCCTCGGTGGCTTGCACCACGGTCACCTGACCACTGGCCACTTGCTGGGCCAGATCTACGTTATCCTTGACCAGATCAGCCATACTATGAATGGGTATCGAGTGGGTCACAGTGTTGCCGTTGGGCTCCGTGGTGGTAATAGTGCCGATAGTGTCGCTACTGCTGTTCACCACATGCCCATGAAGATGGGCATCGCTGCTCGAATCCTCGGCATCCATTGGCAGTACGACACGGATCACTTCCAGCTGATCAGCATCCGTTGTCACTGCTCCAGTGGAGTCGTCGTCGTCGAGTTTTTTCTGCAAAAGCTGGCAGTTCTGCAAAAGGGGTAGAAGTTTTACCTATTTATCAAGGAAGGATAATCAGGTAAGGTTTTTGTTTATTTAAATTATTTTTTCTCTTTAAATCAATGGAGTTTCCAGTTTAGTAGAACTTAACAAGCCAAAACTAAAGTTATGATGTTAATAAAGACTAAATAAATAAAACTTAAGAGCTTAAAATGTTCACTCAAGAAGAAGTAATTTACAAGGAATTGATATAACAAAAAAAAAGATTTTTAGTGGGAATTTTCTTGTTATTAAAAATGTTTTCTATATTAAATAAGTTTTCCCAACTCAACTTTAAGTTCACCCACCTGTGTCATGACATCCTCCAGTGTGGCAGAGACAACGACTCCATCCTCCGTGCAGAACTCAAACTGCTCGGCATGCGGTGGCGAGCTGATGCTGTTGGTGGTGCTGGCTCCAAGGGTTCCGGTGGCTGCACTCTCCACCTCAACGGTCAGATGCTGCTGCTGCTGCTCCTCCGCTGAATCCTCCGGGAC